ACAAAATTCCGACCGATTTCTGAACCAATTTTGTTTCTGACGACATTATTAAATTCGTTGGTGTCCGTCCAATCGAGTTTAAGTTTGCATTTACCTTTTGTTCAGAGTGGTGTATGTATCCAATACCCAGGCGACTTGTGAGTTGAAAGCCTTTTTAAAGGGTTTTGGTTCCCGATGTGGTTTTCGGTTACGATTTAGGAAACGATAATAATACAAATAAATCCAATTTCGTCCTGGAGAGGAGAAAGTACAAAAATATATAAGACAACAAATACATTGGGGTGCAGATAGAACGGAGAAAGTGCAGGGTTTCGCTTTTTATTCAAGGTAAACTGGTTTGTTTGCAGGGGTGTCAACGTGTCCATTATTTATGGCGAATGACACATGGGCTTCTCTGACGACGAGAAGTATTTAATGTCTTGTCGAAACGAGGGTTATCTAGTTAAAGAAAAGAGTTGACGCTTCCGGCGGAAACTTATTATTATTTTTGTAGAATAAATATTAAGGAGAATCGTAATTCGCGAAAGATTTTTGCAAAATGCAAATTATTGAACAAGTTATACGTGAAACTTATTATTACATACTAGTGTATAAGCCCGTCTCCCGCCGGGCTGGAGCTTATTATTTGACTTTCGCGAAAATTAAGTCGGATTGTTTATAATTCCAGCGAATCATTTTTTACCATATAATTAGCTAGAAATGCCTGTTGGCGAGGGAAGTGAAACTTTCTCCATTTCTACTTCCGTCACGGAAAATTAAATTCACTTCCGTTGCAGACAAACATTTCCAGCTTATAATATAGATTATTCGTGTTCAATAAATATTAAGGAGGATCGTAATTCGCGAAAATTTTTGGTAAAAACTGGAAATGTTGTAAAATTTGTAAAATTTCATAACATTATGGAAATTTCAACAATTGAAGTTTTGTTTACCTCTTTTTAATTACAAAATAAATTGTAAAATTCCTAATTTATAGCGAGTGACACATGGGCTCTGACGACGAAAACAATTTAATTTAATGTCGAAACGGGGGTTTATTAACTAGTTAAAGAATTAACATTTCCCGTGGAAACTTTTTATTATGCGATGAATAAATATTAGTGGGGATTTGCGAAAATTTGCGAAAAATTTTGCAAGTTGTAAATTATTAAATTATAAAACAATTTACACCGTTTACTTTGGGAGTGTATCTATTTTTAAAGTGAGACTTAATCGAAAAATTCAAATTTTTTAAACCAGGTTGTGAAATTTACCAATTTTGACCTGAGTTCGGCCTTACATATTTCACGAGATTAAATCAGACTTTACAAGTCAATTAAATGAGGCAAGGCACGGAGACCTTGATAACTTTGTAAAATCCGTAAATTTACAAACTGTTACAAAATTTTGGAAATATTTCGAAGGAAAAATACTTCCAGAAATCAAAATTTTTGTAAATTTATCCGGTAACAAGTTAAAGAAGTGACATTTCCGAAACTTACTATTATAATGTGTTAAATAAATATTAAGGAGGATCGCAATTTGCGAAAATTTTTGCAAACTGAAAATTATAGAACAATTTACAATTACACCTTGAAGGGTACGTCATCTGTTTTTAATGGCTGAAACAATCATAAAATTCAAAATTTGTTTTATTCGGTTGTGAAGTTTACCAATTTTGACCTGAGTTCGCCCTTATTTCACCAGATGAAATTAAATATGCCAATTAAATGAGGCAAGTCACGCAGGATTTGGTAACTTCGTAAAATCCGTAAACTTACAAACTTTTACAACATTTTAGAAATATTTCTATTGAAAATTAGCTTACAAATTTTTACAAACTAGTCACAGTCACAGCAGCTCTTTATTTTATAAAACTTTGTAAAACTGTTTTACAACATTTATGGATTTTACGAAGTTGCGAAGAACTGTGTGAGTATTTGTGATACATTAAACCGTGTAAAATTATAGTAAATATTTATAAAATAAACACGCCAGAGTAAAATATCGAATTTCTCAATAGTTACATTTATTTCAAAATTTCAATTTTATCAAGCTTTGACGCCATTAATTTTGCTAGATGTAAATAATAAATACTTACGTCACAAGAGGTGTCTTCAGGGTTGCACGTTTTTTAAGACTCGTTACAGAAATAAAGACAACGCTAACACTGTTAGCAATCTGGTGTAAATCGGTATTAAAGTTGCTGTCCTTGGTATTAAGATTATACCGGTTTGTAAAAATTCTTTATCGATATGATAAAACTTTAATACCGAGCTATGTATTACTACACGGTATTACTTTTCAATACCACTTTGGTAGTCTTATGTATACGATCTTACTATTAGAAATAATTTTACCCTTTTGAAAAGTACTCGCGATTTAAATTCGAACTTAAATAAACTATAATAAATCGAGAGAAACGTTAATTTTATAAAGAGTAAAGGTTACTCAGGATTTAGTATGCTTTACTTAACTCGCTATTATTTAAATCGCTATTATTTTTCAAAAGGTTGAAATTATTTCTAAGAGTGTAGAATCATAGCTGTTCCAAAATTTAGCTTTCATTCAAAAGTCAGTCATCCCGATTTCTGACTGAAGATTTTCATTCACATTCAGTCATCTTCGTTCAAATTCATTTCAGTTCATTTCACTTCATCGGGCTTCATTTCTTACTTCACCTCATGTATTAGGTATAGGGTGAAAAATAAGGCTATTCAATAATAAAATAGTTAATTAATTTCATTCACAGTTATTCATCTGAAATGACTGAATCCTTCAGTCCTTTTCACCCAAATGGCTGAAAATTCATTTTCAGTTACTTTTACTATGATTTACCATCGTAAAAAATGCATTTTTATAAATTGGAAACTTTGGCACCAGTTTGCTAAATTTTGCAAACTTCGTAAAGATGATAATTTAATAAAGGTATGGCATGTTGCGATCAGAATTTTTTTCCAAATATTTCCAATCCACCAAACTTTGCATAGGGGAAACTTTGATACTACTATAATTTCTTTTAGGGTTTTAGAGGTTTTAAAAGTAGTATAGAATGTATATATTTTTTTCAAGAATATGCTAATTTTTAGCACAACTTATTTGTAAAAGACATCAAAGGTTTTTCTATTTTTTGCCATTTAGTAACGAAAAATTTGAGATTTTTTGGGAGCATAAGTTATTATTCTAATAATTTCTGTAGCTCGATAACGTGGAAACCACGGCCAGGAAAAACATAGACATTTATGTGTTCTGGAAACTTTGACGCCAGTTTGTGAAATTTTCAAAATTTCGTAATGGTTATACGTTTTGTAGGTCTTGCTTGAACGTTGTCTCTAGCATACAAAATTTAGAAGCTTTTATTGTATTAGATTTTGCCAGAATTTTTTTTACTAATTACTCAGGAATTTTTGGAAGTTTAATTTTGTAATTTTGCATTTTGGATTTACTAAAAATTTAAAAATTCCATAGATATCTAAAAAATAATCGAATTTTTTGCACAACTTGCTTGTAAAAGGCATCAAAGGTTTTTCGATCTTTCGGAATTTTGCTGACGAAAAGTTTGAGAGTTTTCTGACGTAGGTTTTTATTCCTGTTTTTTGTGGCTCGACAACATGGAAGCCACGGGCAGGAAAAACTAAATTCTTGAACAGGTATGCATACATGCGACCACCTCGAGACTAGAGATGCATTAAATTTTTCTAAAGCTTTTCCGGCTTTCATATTAAAATTTATGAAGAAGTAAAAAAATATATTGGAAAATGCAGAGCAATTTTAAATCCACATTTTTTCCAAGTTACATGGACAAACAAATTTCAGATTTTTAAAATTTCAAATTTACAGCTTATCGTTCACAACCAGAGCCTGAGAACCTACTTATCATTCGAGTTTTCGCCGATTCAAATTTTTTATAATGGCGTCCAAATCTAACCATTTTCAGAATTTATTAAAATTCAGTTTTGTATTCTTTTATTAAAATTAGGCAATATTTGTTTCAAATATCTCCAGTTTTTGTGAGTTATGTATTATGCTTAATTCAACATTTTGAATTTGCATCTACATTTTTTTGGAAACCGGAAAAATCTATGAAAACCCAGAAATTCCAGTTTTTACACGGTTATAAACTGATCTTTATTCGTGTTGAAGTTTTTTACAATTCAGAATTTCTAATAACGACGTCCAATTGCTTCTAAAAACTTCCAAAATTGAAACAAATATTTTACAAATTTACGCGATTCGTTTTGAACTCTATTGTCACCTTATCTTATTTTTTGGGGGTTGTTTAAATCGAATTTATTTGATACCGGCGTATACAACCCACCATTGTCAATTGTTCGTCAAAATAAAATTCTATAAAGGCTAGAACATAGTTAAATTAATTTTTTCAATTCCTGAAATTCGTGCATGTCTTGTTTCATATTTCAAAATTTTCCAGAACTTATGCTAATTTGCGTACCAGGTTTTACGACTCCATTGATATCTCAGAAATTTTTGAAGTACTGAAAGAACAAAATCTAGGTTTCGCTTTATTATCTTTGAGGTTCAAAATTATATATAAAGGCGTCCAACTTATCGAAATTTCGAATTCGCACAACCAAATGTACTTACCATAAATAATTTACTTGAAGATTTTGCGACATATACAACTTTTGAATTAAAATTCTGGATTAAAAGTAATAAATTTGTCATCTCGATTTTTAAATCTCATAAACCTAGGAAATTTCAGAAGTTTTAACCTTCTGGTAAAGAAACGATTGAATCTTCTTTTGAAATTTTACAAATTCAAAATTTATTATAACGAACGGGGTGGAATTTGTCAAAATTTCAGAATCGCAAAAATATATCTGTGCATACATGTACTAAAAATATCTAAATATTGTAATTAGGTGTGTACAATGCGGTATAAATTATTCGTGTAATTTTCTGACTGCTAAAACATAAAAATATGAAATTTAAACGATTTTGAAAAATATGCGAGTATTTTATAAATGAATAAAATAATTTTGAGGTAGCGCAAGAAAAAATTTGAACTTCCCTCCATAGCGCGGCATTCATTAATTATATTACACAATATGTACAATACATAAACTATTTCTATTTGGCATTTTCATTTTTTACACAATTTTTTGAGTTGTTTTGTTGGACGACTAAAACGGTCAGTTTGTGAAAAACACTGCAGCGGAAATTTTGAAATTTGCATATATTTACAACCAAATGAAGCGTTTGCGATGTTCTAAAACGCGCATGGGCAGAATAACGCCGTCGACATCTTTCTGTATCGCGTTGCACTCGACTTGTCCGTCATCGTCGTCGTAATACGCCTGCACCATGCCGCAGAGGATTCGTTTCCGACAAATTGTGTCGCATGGATCTCTACTCTGATGGTTGGGGTCCGTCGCTTTGAAGTAGTATCTGAAAATTTCAGAATTTTGAAATTTTATGATTCGAATGGAATTTTAAAATTTGACCCAATCAAACGGCAAAGCAAACCTTTACGTCTTTTTACGAAATTTTATAAATTCCTAAACTTTAAGAATTTTGCGTAGGTTGTAGGTTTGCCATTTCCAGAAGAAAATTTTGATAATTGGAATGGACGTGCACAATCTGAACTTTAGTTTAAAACTTTAGTTTAAAAGTGAACTTGGGTTCGTCATAAGGTGGAAATTCCGCTTTTTTTTACAAATAAATTTGGATTTTGTAAGAAATATTAATTTTTTAGAGTGTTGTACTTTCAAGTAGTTTCGTAAGTTTTTAGAAGGTAGGGAAGGAATATGAAAAATTCAAGTAAGAGTTTTTTCGGTTAGGTTCAAAATTTGACTAAATGAGGTTCAATATTCAAACGCCATTTTGTGACATTTTGTAAATTACTAAACAGTGAAATATTTTCGTAGATTTGTCATTCTTGGACAACGAAGTTTTAAAAGTTGGGAAAGTGCATAATCTGAAAGTCAGTGTAAAACTTTAGTTGAAAAATGAACTTGGGTTCGTCATAAGGTGGAAATTTCACTTTTTTACTCAGGGAATAAACAAAAGATGTATTTTTTTATAATGAGGCAATTCACCCAGTCTTGGTAACACTTCCGAAATTTTACAAATATGTCTAAAGAAAATGGAATTTTAGCATTAAATAGAATTTTATTACGAGACAATTCACGCAGTTCTTGGTGGATTTTACCAGTTAAGAAATTAAGAAATGTACGAAAAATCATGGCAAAATGTTTCGGATTAAAGTCAAACTCGATATTTTTAGATTTTTATGTGCAATTTAACAACTTCAGGTCTACAACTACAAGTGTTAGTTTGGTTTGTTTAGAATTAATTCTGAAAAAATTATACTATATTGCAAGCTTTGTAAACTTTGTAAAGTCACAAATTTATAATGAGGTAATTCACTCAGGCTTTGGTAACTTTGCAAAATCCATAAAATTGCAAACTTTTACAAAATTGTGTAAATATTTCTGAGGAAAATTTGTTCACAAAGTTTTATAAACTTACTCAGATACTCGGACCAAGGGCGTCTCTTTAAAGTGTGTAAAATTATTTTACAAAATTTACGGATTTTATGTACAAGTTACCAATAACTCCATGAATTGCATCAATATAATTTTTGAAATTTTGTACAATATTTGTGAATTTTTTTTACAAATTTGTAGTGTTCCGTAGCTACCGTTGTAGCATTGTCGAGTCGTTTAGTAAATTTACATAGAGAAAGAGGAATCAAAAATATCATATGTGCGTGAAAACGAATTTTACACATAACGAGATAATTTGGATGTAATTTTCTTGAAAATTGACACATTTTATCTCTACGTAATAAAATTTCAGGTAATGTGTTTTACAATGATATAAAAATCTTGCTAATCGGAAACTTTCTTCGTAAAAAATTTGTATGTTGCCATCGACTTTAAATTGGATGATTTTTTAACCCAAATATTATGCTAAATAGATAAAGCGAGTAGATTTGTTAAATGTGTTAAAAATTGTAGAATTTGTATGTTAGAAAAATTAACCTGCAAACTTCCTGTGTTTCCTAATAAACACGTTTAAAGAAGTTATTGAAAATTGTACGGAAATTATTAACAATTGTTCCCGGGAATTGGTGACTGGTAAATTTTGAGAAAGAAAATTGGAAACTTTACAAACTTACAAAATTGGATAAATTTGACACCTGTTTGTGAAATTTTACAAATTATGTAATGATTATATTGTTACAAAGGTAAGGCAGATGTGTTTTTGAATTGTTTTCCAATCTACCACATTTTGTAAATTGAAAACTTTCACAGTTATAGAATTTGTCTTGATTTTTTTACCAACTAAACCCCAATTTTTGAAAATTTATATTACGGACTCGTTAAAAGTAGTAGAGCAATTTGTATTTAGAAAAATTCCGAATTTCTTTGCACAACTTGAAAAAGGCATCAAACGTTGTTCCATCTTTGCCTTTTTGATGAAAATTTTGTTATTTTTGGAAGTAAACTTTTGATCCCGTAAATTTTCGTGACTCAAAAAAGATAAAACGCGGAAAGGAGCATTTTTTTGTAAATTTGAAACCTTGTCGCCAGTTCGTAAAATTTTGCAAATTTGGTAATGAAGACAACTTTACAAAGGTGCAAGTAACTTTTATCTCAACCCATAACATTTTGCAAATCAAAAACTTTCACCGTATTAAAATTTCACTTGATTTAAACAGGAATTTTTGACGGTTTGTATTACGGATTTGTTAAAAACAGTGTTTCTGCTGTTAAGTAACACCTGCACGAAATTAGTGTACGAAAATGTTTTTAAACGTTTAATAACACCCACTAAAAATCCGAAAAAGTGCATGAAAGTGCACGAAAATGCACGAAAATAATTTACATGCAAATATTATTGGAATAATGTAATTTTTAAAATATTCAATTAATCAATGTGCTATTGAAGATAATTTTCATCATTTTTTGCATTTTTTTTGTAAAAATATTTTTCATTTTTCGTATTGAAAAATGAAAAATATTTTTGAAAAAAATATTAAAAATTATATTCTTTCAATAAAAATATTTAATGAAAGTTTTGAAAACGAAAATGAATGAACACGACGATTTTTATGAACGGCTGAATACGGGCTAGTATTTTATAACAAAACAAATACTTGTCATTTGTTTGAAATTTTCTTACCGAATAATAATTCCATATTATTCGATATGTGTACCAAATTCCAATTTGACAGGGTAGTAAAATATAGGATTTCTTGAAAATATGAAATTCCCTGCATAAGTTGCACTTCATGTATTATTATGCATTTTCATGCATTTTCATGCATTTTCGTGCATTTTTATGCATTTTTATGCACCGTGCATGCATAAAAATAATTTCGTGCGCACAAAAAGAAACACTGGTTAAAAATAATAGAGCAATTTATATTTCTCCAAACGAATCTGCGAATTTTTTTGCGCAACATACTTCTAAAAGGCGTCAAAGGTTTTTCTGTCTTTTGCCTTTTTGATGATGAAAGGTTTGAGATATTTTGAGATTTTTCGGAAATAAGTTTTCGACCCCGTAAATTTCCTTGACCCGATAAAGGCGAAACCACCGGATGGAAAGTCGCATTTTTCCCTCGTTTTGGTTATTAATGACAAAATTTGGCAAAGTTTTTGTAATACGAAAAATGTTTCAAATTTAAAATTATTATTTAAAAATCTTTACTTAAAATTCTCGTGATTTTTAATCTTTAAATTTTTGTAAGATCTTTGTTGCGCATTTGTTGAAAGTATCTTTCCAAAAAAAGAATATGCAATGTTTTTGCTCAGCTTACTTGTAAAAAGCGTCAAACGTTTTTCTATCTTTCGCCATTTTGATGACGAAAAGTTTGAGATTTTTCGGAAGTAAGTTTTTGATCCCGTAAATTTCCGTGGCTTGATAAAGACGAAACCAGGGAACTGAAAAATGGTCGGGACCGGAAGCCGGGACAATGTTCTTATTGGAAGTGGAGGGTCTTCGACGTGGTGGAATTCCGAAAATTTTCTCCGCCTCGGTGTTGGCTTGTTCGAGATCATAAATCCAAGTTTCATGGTCAATAACGTCGCCGTAGGTCGAATCGTGAGAAATGTCCACGTGGTAGATGCGATAACCGGGGTTGTGAATTCTGTAAAAAAATAATGGAGACAAAAATTAAGGAAAATTTTGTAAAATTTTGAAAGAAATATGATTGAAGAAATTTTGAAAAAATGGTAAGTAAGAGTGCAGAAATTTATTAGAGAAATCAAAATTATTTAATGGTAGCTTTTTATAATTTCTTCACTATTACTTGGCGAAAAGAGATCACCTATCTGTGTAAATACAATTTAGAGAAGATAAAATTTGTAAAATTTCAAATAACGGCGTGAAACCTTACAATTTAAGAACTTTTTTAGTTTATGACATTCTTAATTCACACACATTATTCAAGCGCAAAACCTGTCGAACTTTTAGATATTTCAATCTTACACAATTTATTAAGGCGACTTGAAAATCCGACTAAATTTTCAAAATATTTGTGAAAAATGAAATTCAGGAAGAATTTGTATTGATGATGGCGATCGTTAAGGAAATTTGATTTTTGATTTTGATTTAGTTTTTCTAGACTTGGAAAATCAAAAAATTTTAAGGTTAATAAACTAATTAAACATGAAGTATGTATTCTTAACCATTTTTCTAATATTTTCCAAAATATTTACGTATCTCAAAAATATATATTATCCAAAATTTGTGTTAAATTAGTGAATTTTGGTTACACTTAAAAAAATTGTGGTATTTTTACCATAATATTTCTTTGCTTATTAAAATTGATTAAATTTTGTAAGCTCTGGGCAGGTTATTTTGTGCGTTTTATTATATACTGAAATTTGTAAATTTAACAGAATTTTTTTCGCAAAATTTCTTGCTCTTACGACTTTTTGGCATATTTGTTAATCAGACATATATTAAGAATTACATACATAGATTAGGTAACATAGGGTCAACTGGGGCAAGAGCGAGTGCATTTCATGAAACTTATCATGCATATAGCTGCAAATTATGAAAAAAACAAATTTCAAAAATTGTAAATTGTGATAAGGCATCGTAAATTAGGTCGTTCAAGATTGTCTGTAAAGAAAATTTGAAAATATTCAAATTAGAATGCATTATTTAAGATTAAGTACGTGCGCGCACTTGCCCCACGGTTTTCCAGAATCTGGGGCAAGTGTGATTTTTCGTGGGGCAAGAGTGCTTATATCAAAAACTAGGCTGATATTGATTCAGCAGCTGCAATAACTGTTTTTAATAACAAATAAAGCTATTACTAACAATTTGTGTAGGTATTTTATCAATTACTAAGTAGCGGCAGCTACTTATTGCGATCGTTTTGTCCGTCCGTCCGTCCGTCTGTCTGCCGTATGCAGGATATCTCCAGAACGAGTCGACATCAAACCTCATTTTCGAAATTGTGTTTCTAATTTTGAGTTCTCGGTCGAGTTCGAAAATTGGGTCAATCGGACCACACCCCACTGCGCCAGGGGGTGTGGTCCAGATTAAATTTGACTTTAATTTTCATATGGGGTATCATTTTAAAGGAAATTTCGCCATGAATTCAACGACATCAATATTTTTGACCTTATGACCTTTACGACAAGGTCAGAGGTCAGAAAACATATAATTTTCATATTTCTTTTGTTGAACATCATTCTTCTTCTGCTTAAGTAAATCTAAATTAGTTGATTGGGTAATTATCGCAGCAGTGTCAATTCGTTTCCTCTGTTGTGTCTCCTTTTGCTTTTGAGGTGTAACAGTTTTAAGTAAAAGCTCTTCAAATGTTGAGTCTTCAATCTTAGGAGAGGAGCTTCACTACCTGCACGGTGCAGGCTGCACCTCTCAGATCTTGATGTGCTTTCGATATGTGGTAGTCTCCCATGAGTGCTCAAAAACCCTGAAGTGGTTTGACTACAAGGCTACAGTTGCGCCCGCCACACCCACTCAAAGGCGGCAAAAACACGAAAAAGCCCTGTTTTGACTCGTTCAAACCATTGGCCAAAAATCCAATTTTGCTCGGATTTTGATAGAATTTACATTTTTGTAATCCCAGATACTTGTGTAATAATATCCAATAGATATCTCAACTTTTTTGAATTTTTGAATTTTTTTGAATCAGCACTAAAATTTCCAAAATTTCGAAAAAGTTGAGATTTCTATTGAGTATGGTAACAAAAATATCTGGGACCACAAAAATGTAAATTTTATCAAAATCCGAGCAAAATTGGATTTTTGGTGGATTTTTGAAGTTGTTAACTTTTGTGGTTTTCATCCCTTTGAGTGGGTATGGCGGGCGTAAATGTGGCCATGGAGTCAAACCACTTTAGGGTTATAGTACACTCATAGGGTACTCCAGCATATGCAAAAGACATAAAGATCTGAGAGGTGCAGGTGGTAAAGCTCTCCTCCTTAGTGTTGATTCTGGGACTTGATGACAATTGGCAGATTGTCGCACGGTCAACTTCTTGGATTGGACATCAGTAATAGCTTTAGCCATTTGATCCATTGTCCACCGTCCCCCAACACCCCAATTGGTCGTCCTTATATATTTCCGCACCATCATAGGTCTGATATTACGATTAAAATAATTTATTCAGAAATCACACTTGCCCCACAGAAAAAACACACTTGCCCCAGGTCTGGCACAACTGAGGGGCAAGAGTGAGTCAGCTTTAATTACGTTTCAAAGCTACTTCGGTATTTAAAATATTATATACAACTTCTATAACATATGAAGACTTATATTTAAAAAATTGAATTTTTTTTACCCTGTGGTTAAGAAGTAATCAAAATTTCAAAAGATTTCAGCAGATTTTATTTTGTCATTTCTAAATTCTCTTTTGGGAAAATTGAGTTTGCGGCAGTTCTGGGGCGACTAGATATGAAAACTTTTCTGAACAATTACAACAAGTAACTATTTAACAATGTACGCTGCACTAGTTGGCCAAAATTATTATGAGGTGAAAGATATAAATCAAAATAAGATATCATCAAAAACACTCTTACCCCAAGTGACCCTACAGCATATGAGAATAATTTACAAAATGTAATAACGTAAGTTGCAAAGTTTGACGTCATTTTATGAGATTTTTCAAATTTCATAAGAGATAAATTTTAAAAAGGTGTTATTGTCCTCTACGTGGAAATTTAAAAGTTTGATATCAAGAAAATCTAGGTGTTCTTTATATGAGATTTACACAATTTATCAAAATCGTTTTTTATTGTGCGATTTCTGACGAACTTTTAACCAGCTTTTTTGAATTGTGACACATAATTTTGAAATTTTATAGTCAGTATTTTTGTTGAATTGCGACATAACTTGGCAAATTTTCTCACCTGTACGGCGTCAAACTCGGCCCGACCCACATGACATTAATCGCCTCACTTTTAATCAGGGGATCATGCAGGACACGAAACTCGTCGTAATGCGTATGACCGTAAAACTGTCCTCGAATAACGTTCCTATATTTCGCCACGATTTTGTAAAATTCCCGGGACCACGTTTTAAAACAGTCTTCATGCCCGGGCGGCACGTGACCTACGATGTGTGCCGTTTTGTTCTGCGAGTCTGTAAGGGCCAACTGCTTTTGTAGCCATTCCAACTGACCGCCGGGATCTTGAGGGTCGTAGAGTTGCCACCTGCGCAAAAAATAAAAAAGGTCATGACCTTGGCGAAAATAAAATTTGGCGACATCGATTATGGCTGTGGCCAAAATAAAATTTGGCGTAATAAATCATGACTTATTCCCCAAAAGAAAATTTGACATGGATTGTGACCTTGGCAAAAATAAAATTGGATTCCTTGGATCATTACTTTGGCGAAAATAAAATTTGGCTACACGTTGACTCACATGTTAAATCCGTAGCAGACATTCGTGTTGACGACAAGGACGCGGAATTTGGGATTAATCTCTACCGCGTAATGTCCCGACGATAAGAACGTTTCCTTTTGGTCTGGCGGGATCCATTGTTGCCAAGATTCGTACGCCACTTCGTAAACCCAATCGGTTTGGAGATCTTTCGGAATTGGGTTGGCTTCCTGGGAGCCGAACGTTCTCGTGGTTGGGCTGAATCTAGAAATGTTTAAATTTTACCATTATAAATAGATATAAATCATCAAAAAGTGGTAAAAACTCGAATTAATCACAAAAATTTAAAAAAATTTTTTATATCTTCTATGTTTACTTAAATATCGATATTTTGAAAATGTTTCGGATCTTCAATTCATACATTTTGTGTCGATATTATTTGTACCATTTCCATTTTAAAAGAAATAATTTTTGTCATAGTCATTGAAGTTTGCAACGCAAGTCTTTTAATCTGTAACAATATTAAACACCTAAAATCGTAAGATTATTAATTTGACGTAGAAAGCTTCAATTTTACAAAATTTTAATAATCATTTGGAGTATTCATTACGGATCGAATTGCAATTGAATTTTCAAGTAAAAATTGCTTGCGAACTTTATTTTTTTAATGATCCAATAAATCTACACTCATTTGTATAGGTTAGATAGAATTTTTAAAATTATTCAAATTGGCATCAAACTGTTTTGTTAAGTACAAAAAATTTTGACTTGTCTCAAAATTGAGGATTTTGCTTTGTTTTCGCAAATATTTTGGCATTATTTTCGCACACATTACATAAATATATTGGTCCACAGAGATGCATATGTTTAAATTTTATAATAAGCTCTTACGAATTGACCGGGTGTGGTTCATGATTTCCTAAACACGGAATCACCGTGGCCGTGGGAAAATAATCGTGCAGAACTTTCGACGTGCCACGAATCGTCGCGGTGTTATCTTCTTGCGTCGAATACCAAATATTGTGCGGAACGAGGTCACCCGTCATGTAAATTATGTCGATGTCGCTCTAAAAAAATGACAATAATTCAGATTTTCCCCTCAGTTTTAAAATTTCAAAAATAAACAACCTTAAATTTGTAACAAAAATCGTCACCGTGCGTATGTAAATAGTTACTACCAGGTGGGAAGGATTTATCCCCAAAAATTTCTAGGAAATTAAATTTCACACCTTCCAGTAATAAAAATTGATTAAAACATGATAGCAATTTTATGTATAGAATTTCCTCGAAATTATTTGCCACTTTCTGGTCGCAAATCTTTACCAACGTGGTAGTAACTACATACACGCGGTGACGATTTTGTTACCACCTAATTTTTGGTATAAATACGTACCCCGTGCGTGGTCTGGAGTTGTTTTAACGCCATATGTAAAATAGTTATGGGCGCGTCGCATTTTCGATTATCGCCAAAATACCCGGCGCCCGAAATGTTCTTGGCTTTGTCAGGATATCCAGATTTTTCTTGACAACAGAGAACTTCATTGTCACATTCTGCATTTGTCCCTGAGAGAAAAGTAGGAAATTATGGATTGAAAATTAATTATACCAAAAATTAGCGTTTGCCGAAATTTCTCGAGTTCAATTTTATACAGTACTTGGTTTTTGGGAAAAGCAAAATATTTACAAAAAAACATTTTAAAATAGTTTGGCAAACAAAAAATCTTAAAAATTTAGTTGAAACTTTTCAAACTTGGAAAAACTTATTTTTCGAATAATTTATTTGTTGAAACAAATTTTAATATTATTAAACTTCTCAAATTACAACTTTTTCCAACTACTTTCAAAAAGAATTTGGCTGTATCTAATTACAATTTAACGAATTTAAAATTTTTAAAATTTCTCCTAATGGAGTGAAACTTTACAAATTGACATGTTTTTTTTACACACATGGGTATACAATTTGTAATGTATGTTTCTTTCTTAAAAATGCAGATATAGACTTAATTGATAATTGAACTAAATTTTAAAAATAATTTTGAAAAATTTCTCGAAATTTTGAAGTTTGAATTAAATTGCAAATTTAGTAAATTGGTACAATACTATGAAAGTTGTCAAATGTACAAAGAATCCATACACATTTGAAAGTATAAAATTTGCAAAATTTTTCATAATGGCGTGATTTTATGAAACACATTTGTAACATGATTTCTCGGAAAGTAATAAATATATAATTTGCATAATTTATGCCAAATATTGAGGCAATTTACGCAGCCCTTCCTTTGTGACTTTGTAAAATCCGTAAGCTTTGCAAAATATTAAATTTTTTAAACTTTTACACCATAAAAAGATGCCCTTGGTCTGAATAACTTTATAAAAATCTGTAAGCTAATTGTGCTTAAAAATATTTGTAAAATTTGGAAGTGTACGGATTTTAGAAAGTCTGTTTGAATTGCCTCATTATTAAAAAATACTCTTTTGTTTTCACTTGAGTAAACAAATGACTAGAAAATCGATTAAACTTTAAAGTTATTTTTCGAAAAATTGCATAATTACGTAATTTATTAAAAAAATAAATACAAAGGAAATCTTTGCCTTACAGCATGGGTAAAATACAGTATGAAATTTCCAATCAAATGGAAATTACTTTTTAAAGTAAAGTTCAGATTGTGAAAGTTCCCAATTTGGGAACTTTCACAATCTGAAACTTTGAATTTGAGTATTGGGAATCCCAATACTCAAATTCAAAGTTTGTTTGTTTCTTCAAAATCTGTTTGTTAACGAATTCGCAAGCAAACAAACATCTAAAAAAATCTCTATCGTTCAGTAATTAATACAATTTCATAAACTGGCGTGAAGATTTACCGTTTAATATGGACAAATTTGGAATACACAAAACAACAAAAGTATTTCATTTAAAAAATTACTTTTAATTTTTGTACCTTCCAAATTTATTATCATAACTTGATCTAAATAATTTGAAAGTTATTCCTGTTTCTAAAAAGTAATATTAAACCACAAGAAAATCGAAAAAAGTTAAGCAAATTATTTTTCGAAAAATTACACAAATTTCGCAGACAATTTACAACCAATTTTTGCAATTGTACCAGTTTACAATTTTGTGGTTTCAACTTACAAAAACGCTAACTTGAGTAACAAAAAATATGAAATTTCCAATCTATGACAAACGAAAATTCATTTGTAAATGCTGGTTACAAACGTTGCCAATTTTCAAACTTTATATTTCTGATAAAGTTTACCTGTGTAAAATCATATCGTTCAGTAATTCATAGAATTTTATAAAACGGCGTGAAAGTTTGTCATTTAGAAAGTTTCTGAAATTTTGTCAAATTAGACTCACCAAATGACAATGTTAAACAGTATTTTCAATATTCTTTCTTTTCAAATAGTTTCCAAATTAAAATTTACTATCATCATTTCATCAATTGATCTAAACAATTTTTAATTTATTCCTGCTTTTATAAAAATTAATAAACGACTTCACATTAGAATAAAATTATTAAGTTATTTTGATAAAAATTACACAAACGTAGTAATTTATAAAAAAAATTCTTCCTTTTACACCTTCATTTAAAAAAGTATGGAATTTCTATTTTATGTCAAACTCTAGTTTACATTCCTAATTTTCAAAACTTCGAGTTTGTGGACAAACAAACTTACGTAAAACTTTTATCGCTCAGTAATTCCTAGAATTTGATAAAATCACTTTGCCGTTTAATTTTGAACCCATACCTACACTGTCAGAAATCCGGTATAGTCACGTAGGTATTTTTCGGTATTAAAGTTGCTACCACTTGGTATTAAAGTTATACCGGTCCGTAAAAATTTGATACCAATATTGTAAAACTTTAATACCGGGTTATCACTACATGGTATTATTTATCAATACCAGTGAATACCGCCTGGTATTATTTTAATACTAGATTTCTAAGCGTGTAGGAACGAAGATATCTAGTAAAAACAGTATTCTTAATATTCTTTTATTTCCAAAATTTTACAAATTAAAACTTGCTATAACATCGTTGGATCTTGATCTAAACAGTTTCGAGGTTATTGCATCTTAAAAAAAACTAATAAACGACTTGAAACTCGAATAAACTAAATTGATAATCGTATTTAGATTCAGTTTTAAACTCAACTTATGACCGTTCAGGTTGTGAATTTCCAAAACTTGGAGTTTTATAAGCCAAACAGACCTATGTACGTGAAACGTTTATCGTTCAGTAATTAATAAAATTTCACAAAAAATGACAAGAAAATTTGTCATTTAATGGTAAAATTTTTGAACCATTGATAAACATACTTAATAAAAACAGTAATTTTAATATTCCTTCCTTTCAAAAAGATTTACAATTTATTTTCACCATCAATTGATCCAAATAATGTTTAATTTATTTCTGTTTTAAAAAATTAATAAGCGATTTGAATATCGAATAAAGTTAAATTTGCTTGAAAAATTTCAAAAAAATTAGTAATTTAGAAAAACGCTATGTTTCGTTTACAGGTTGAGTAAACAAAAACTATAAAATTTCAAATCTATGACGAATGCAAATTCATCTTTTAATTAAAATTATGACATTTCACATTGTAAATGTTCCCAATTTTTAAACTTTGAATTAGAAGTAAGACATATCTACGCAAAACTTTTATCGTTCAGTAATTCATCAAATTTGATAAAAAATGGCGTCCAGGTTTGCCATGTCATAAGTTTGACAAATTACAATTTATGATCACCAAGTTAAAAGTTATTCTAGCTATTTGAAAAAATTAATAAACGACTAGAACATCAAATAAGTTTATAATATTATTCTTCGAAAATTTGCGTAATTTATGAAAAAATGTACAATGCTAACTTGAGTAAGAAAAATATGAAATTTCCAATGTCTGACAAACGCAAATACATTTTTTTTAATTCAAACTAAAGTTCAGTTTTGAAAGTTATTAATTTGTCGACAATCACACCTCAGTAAAGTTTTATAATTCAGAATTTATAAAAATTCATCTCATGGCGTGAAGGTTTCCCATTTTATTTGGTCGAATTTTAAACTGGTACAAAGCAAAACTACAACGTAATCTATAAACTATTTTTAAGAATCATACCTTCCAAAAAGTTATGAAACGACTTGAAAGTGCAACACTTTCATAATTTTTTTTTGCAAATTCGAAATTTAAAAAAATTTGGTGGCTTAGAAAAAAATCAATAACAATACACAATAATAAATTTGTTACCGCTTTAAAAAAATATTTTAGCACCGAGTGGGAACAATAATTCTGCAGTAAATTTAATATTTTTTACGTGCACCACTGGTTAAATTTCTTAAACTAGCATTGTTTTCCTATTAGGTAAAAATAAGTTCAAAAATCGCGGTAAAAATTGCGTTAGGAATAAAATAGCTTGGCAAAATAAAAATCTTAAAAATTTATTTCAAACTTTTCAAACTTGTGTAGACAATTTAAAACTAATTTTTGCAATTGTTACAGGTTAAAATTTTGTGGTTCTAATTTACCAAAAATCCATCTTTTGTTCATAACTTGAGGGAAAAAAATATTAAAATTCCAATCTATGAAGAACTTAAGTTTATTTATAATTCATTCATTTATGAAACTAAAGAAATTATGAAAATTCACGCTATGAATGTTCCCAATTTTTAAAACTTCGAGTTGGTAGCCAAACAAATCTACGTAAAACTTTGATCGTAAAATTTCACGAAAAATGGAAGGAAGGTTTGCCATTTAATGGTAAAATTTTGAACCATTACTAAACGATAAATATATAGATCTAATAAATAAAAACGGTATGTTTAATATTCCTTCTTTTCAAAAAGTTTCATAAATTTAAATGTATTCTCCATCAATTGATCTAAATACTTTTAAATATATTTCTGCTTTAAAAAAAATAATAAACGACTTTGAAATCAAATGAAATTAAGCTTCTCGAAAAATTATACATCAAATAAGTTTGCAAAATTATTTTTCGAAAAATTTCGTAATTTATACAAAATAGAAAATCCGAACTTTGTTTACAACTGGAGTTAAAAAAATATGAAATTTCCAATCTATGACAAACGTGCATTTTTAAAGTTTCGAACTAAAAGTTCAGTTTTCAAAGTTACTAATTTGTGGAGAAGCATACCTTAGTAAAATTTTTGGAGTTTAGCAATTCATAAAATTTCATAAAATGGCGTGAAGATTTACCATTTTATCTGGTCGAATTTTGTCGAACTGTGACAAACAACAAAGTGATCTATAAACTATTTTTGACATTCGTACCTTCCAAAAAGTTACGAAACGACTTGAAAGTGCAGCACTTTCATAAATATTTTTTTTGCAAATTCGAAATTTAAAAAAATTATAGTGGCTTAGAAAAAAGTTAGTAACAAATTTGTTACCGCTTTAAATGTTGATCACAATATTTTAGCGCTGAGTGAGAGCAAAAATTTTGCACTTCAGTCGATATTAATAGTCTCAATTCCTTGGAAATTTTTCTGAGAGGTTATTTGGTTTTTTGAAAATAATATCAATTATCTGCCAGGAAACCTCTCAGATTTTTTTCAGACTATTAATATCGGCTGAACAGTAATTTAATATTTTTTACGTGCACTACGGGTTAAATTTCTTCACCTAGCATTATTTTACGTTGGGTAAAAACAAACCTCGCGGTAAAAATTGTGTTACCGACGCAGTACAAATTTTGTTACCGCCAATTTTTTTAAAATCAAATACTTATTTAAATGTTACACTTACCCGCCTTATAATCATAATCGATATGCAGATCCGCCAAATGCACAATCTTCATGACCTTTTTATTCGGATCTTTCGTCAATCCGACCGGATTTCGGTAGTCGAAAGACGGCAGAACATTGATATCCGGTCGTGGCACGGGATACGTGCTGCTCACGTGACCCGGTTTTCTCAAAGTGTCGACATTCCATTCAAAGTCCGTCCCCAAAATTGCTCTGTGAGGGATTCGACATCCCAAACTTTGAAACATGAGACCACACATTATGCTCGACTTGACCTTTGGCCTCGATTGGACGATGTAGTAGAACGACGGCCCCAATCGGGACAACACGCCGGCGCAAACTTCTGGCGCGGCGAGCCGGAAAAATGTACACGTGAAGGTCGAAAATGTGACCAAATTGGACTCACTGGTCGACTGGACTTTAATCTGAAGGAGAAAAAATAATTTAAATTGATATGATGATTCGGTGACCATAAATTCGATGATTTTTGAAATGATTTTTTAAAAATTCGCCACAACTTCTAGAATTCTTGATAGATTTTCAAAATTCTTGCATTGAAATGACCACAAAAGGTTTAATTTTCGTATAAAAATAGATTAATTTGAACAATGTTTGAAAATTAAAAACCAAACTTTTTTCAATAGACCATTTGTTTAAATAATTCTCCAAAATTTTCAAAAACAATTACAAAAAAACTTCATTTCTATTTATATTTACATATTTCTATCTTTATTTATTTCTATTTCTCAATGAAACCCTTGACTCTTTATGATCATTTTATTGTTATCTTTTTATGGTCGCAAAAAAATTCGGAAATCTATCCAGAATTTTAAAAGTTATAACAGTTTAAAAAGAATACACGGCGCAAATAACTTGCATATAAAATATTTTACCTGATGCGCCATCAACCCGAGAAAAACTTGACACCCGGAACAAACCGCGTCGCGTTTGACGGTGTCACCAAAGCCGGAAAATATTTGGCGGAATGCGTAAAAATCTGGGAATCCGAGAGCCGACGCGTTAATCTTGGTTTGTTGGTGGGGCGTTGAAACGGAATTATTTTGCTGTTTCATTTGCGCCGTGATGAACTCGTGAAGGGATTCGATCTGGTCATCCAATTCGGACGGGGACTCAAGAAAATAGTGGTCTCGGGTGGAATTGAGGGCGTCGGCGACGGCTCGGTCGTGCTCGAAATTTGTGGGGGCGGAAGCAGCGGAGTTATAAAGTTGGACGAAATCGTGATAGTACGATGGCAAAGTGTGAATTCCATAATATCCTGGAAAAGAAATTTTTTATGGTAAAATTTAGAAAAGTTAAAAAAAATATAATTTTTTCAACGTTTTATGAATGTCAATTTCATTTCATTTTGTAAATTACGTCAACATTTTAAAAAAATACACAAATGACAATATTTTGACGATTTCAGACAAAAATGAAAAAATTTTTAAACATTTTTTAATGTTACTATTTTGTAAATTACTTGTAAACTATGTCAATATATTTTTTAATATCCAAATGTTTACGCCAATATTTTGGCGATTTTAGACAAAATTGAAATTTTTTTAAAACATTTTTTAATGTTACTATTTTGTAAATTACTTGTAAACTATGTCAATATTTTTTTTAATGCGCAAATGTTTATGCCAATATTTTGACGATTTTGGACAAAAATGGATTATATTTTGATCAATATTTATATACTAAATTTTATTTTCAACAAGTTTTATTACCAAAAATTGCATAATATTTTTTAGGTTTGTATAAATATTTTACACATTGTTTTAAATTCACACCTTTTATGAATATTTTGATTATTTTACACGAAATAAATAAATTTTAGTATAGTTACACTATTTAATCTGGGCTAGGATAAACCTTGAGAAATTTATTTAAAATAAAATTTCGGCGAAAAAGTTACCCATTTGCAAAAACTTTACGAATTGCAAAGCCGAAATTAACCCACCTAATTTATTTGTTTCACAAAACGACGTCAATTTCTCCTAATTCAACATTGCGTCATTACTACAAAATTTTCCGTATATTGACCTTACAAAAGTTTTTAATACACGATTTGAAAATGCAAAAATCTTAAAATTATTTCTTCATAAACTTATGTAAACTGATAATTGCATATTATGCAATGTACAAATGTAACGTTAGTAAAAAAAACAATAACATTTCAAATCGACGACAAACTTTTGTAGGATCAAAGTTTTCAATTTGCAAGTTTTTCAGATAATAAACAAAACTATACAGGCATATTTTAAATATTGTTCGAAAAATTAAAATCAACTTGAGCAATTCATCAAATTAAAACGAAAAAGGTTCCAATTTGCAAAAAAAATCCAGTCAAAGATACAAATAGAGCGACCGAGACACACCTGTACACTTATTTGAAACAACGAAGATACAGTTCAATTTTACAAAATGGCGTCAAATTCTGCCAATTAAAAACTTCACAACTTTTAAAATATTCCGCAACAAATTGTAAAATCATTTTTTGAAAAAATTATACAAACTGTTGAAGTTGAGTAGTGCAAAAAAATCATGAAAATTTTATAAATTTAATATTTTCCAAATTTTTTCCAAAATATTTCTACCCTTTTCACAAATAAAATTATAAATACCAAAATTCCGATACCTTTAACTTGTCCGATACACCAACAAGAAAAGATGACGATCACTCCCCAACCCAAAACTTTACTGTGTTTCCTCCTCACCACATTATTTTGTATCGTCATAATTAGACAATTAATTATTAATTAATTAAAATCACTAATTAACTTCGTTCAAAAATAATTAAATAATTAATATTTTGCCGAGAACAATTTATCAAGAAACTGAATTGTGGGGTCAAATTCCGTAAAAATACTGATCAACGGTAAATGCATAAACCAGTGTAATCCTATTTTGAGCCTTTTCGTCCACAAATGACAAAAGTGAAAAAATCAACTAACGGAATTTTATTTCTCAGATAAGATAAGACAACAAATCTCCGTCAACTAACTCCTCACAGTTTCATCGCCCATGATAAAATCCACCAAAAATTGGGATGATCAAGCCAATATAAAAAGCAGGGTTGGATGATTCTATTATGCAAATTTAGGTAGATTTCTCACTCAAGGAGATATAATACCCTCACTCATAATTAATTAATTAATGAATGAACAATTATAATTAAGTCACAACGAACAATTACGTGAGAATGGATGACGTTTTTGTGTGACACAAGGTGACCTTATTTTTTTTCTGGGATAAATGAGATCATTTAGATGAGATTAATTATCTAGAATGAAAGCAAAGTCTAGCTCGGTTTGGGGCGCAATGTCAACTATTTATTAGTTTTGCGACAAGGTTGTCCCAGTGCAAAAAGTTTGTTGTACTCGGGAATATGGAAAATTTGGAGTGATATGAAGAATAAATTAATGAGGATGGAAATATGTAGTGGGAGACTTTGGAGAAATTTTAAGATGGGGTTTTATGAAGATTTTTAATGGAGAAATTTCTGATAATTTTTTTGGCTTTGGGGAAATTTAATGATGGAATTTTAGAAAAACCTTTAGTATGACTTTGATATGTCATTATGTAGATTTCTTGAATTGGTAAATTTCTGATGATTTTATTCACTTTGGGAAAATTTTAAGATGCAATTTTGTTCAGATTACTTGACATGGTGAAATTTTTGATGATTTTTTTTACTTGCTAGAGTTTGTTTGCTAGAGTTGACAGTTTTTAAATATTTTTTCTCCAATTTGTGTAAAATTATATTGATTAGGTTGGCATGTTGAATAATTTAGATTTTGAAACAATTGAAGGATAATTTTGACAAGTAACGAAAAAAATGAAATTAAAATGTTTGATTTTTTGGGGAAATTTTTATGGGGAATAGCGGGTCTAAGATTTCTTGACCAGAAATGATGAAATTTTAAAGATTTTTTAACCAGTTTAGAGATTTGATGTCCATAAATACATGCATAAATACTTTTTTAAATTGAAATAAATAAATAAGTAAGTGATAAATAACTGACTTGCACAGATGTTAATTAATATGCAAATTTGTGCTTTAAAATTTTATCCGGTTTATCTATGACCTTATTGATTGCATAGATGTACTGGTATCTATTTGTAATTTTGATAGTAAAAAAATCCCATACTAATAAATACTTGTACAATAAGTATTTAATAATGTGCAAATTTTTTATTGAAATTTTTACTCGAAAATAATATAATTCCAAAATTTTGGTAGCGTGTAACGTTGAAATATGTTTTTTCAACTGTTTAAATGCGTATACGTTGTACAGATCCATCTTTGGTCCAAACATTGATATGTTCATTTCAAATTTTAAAATACAGCATTTTATGCGAAGGACAAAAATTTTAGGGAATTTTGATGTGAAATTATATTAAACTGCTATGGTTTACAGTTTATATTTTTAGCCCGAACCAGGGCTTATGTAATCGTCATGTCCGTCCGTCTGTCCGTCCGTCTGTCCGTCCGTCTGTCTTTCGATAACTTTCGAACGAGTTGACCGATTTGGACCAAATTTGGTACAGACATGTATCTGGGCAATGCAACGACCGAGTTCGAACATGGGTTCGATCAGAAAAGTTTTGGACCGGTGGGGGTCATCGGAGTGGGTGGGGTATTATGCACCAAAATTTCAAAATTGTGTTAGAAAGCTGAAATTTGGCATAGAGGTTGCTAATGGCTCATAATGAAAGAATATGAAGTTAAATTGGAAAATTTTTCAACCGGAGGTACCCGAAGGGGTGACCCATACCGATTTTTCAAAATCATCCAATCGAGCTGAAATTTGGTATAGAGGCTGCTAAAGGCCCCTAATGGAAGAATATGAAGTCAAATTGGTAAAATTTTCATATCCGGAACCCGTTGGGGTGACCCATACCGATTTTCATAACTTGTCCCAAAAAACTGAAATTCGGAACGGTGATACTTAATGGCTTCGCATGAAATTATATGAAGTCAAAGATAAACAAAAAGTAACCAGAGGGGCACTAAGGGGTACCCATACCGAGTTTTGGAGGGTTGAATTTTGAAATTTTATAATTGAAAATTCTGACAAAAGTGAGTTTATTAATCAACCCTGGTTCGGCCTAAGCAAAGCTGTACTGATAGGTTTTTTCTCCGGTTTTAATTTGCTACATTGATTATAAAGAACGGTTATTGGTATGTATTTTGTAAAAGTGCAAACAAAAATTAACAAAAATTTTAATTAATTAAATTAAGTTTTTGGCACATATATTTATTATTTATTAATATGTGCAAATTTTTATTACAATTTGTAATCTAAAATATTTATAATCCATTTTTTTTGGTAAAGAAAATTTTTTTTTGCTACTGTTTAACTGCTTGGCTATACATAGCACAAATTGTTTTAAACAATACTTGCCCACGATCCCATAAGTTCAAATTAGAAAAAAACTGCATTTTATGAGAAGGAAAAAAGATTTTGGGAAAATTTGATTGATGGGGCCGTGTCGTTGAAGTATGTTTTCTCCTGGGGTGCATTGGTGTGGAAATGTGTACCCTTTTTGGTTTATGAATATGTGCACTTTGGGTGTGGATAGGTGTGCATAAATCAGTGGGTGGACTTGGACAAACTCGAGTAACCTTGACTTGACTTTACTTGACAATGACTCGTAACAGAATGGACAGGAGTATGAATGTTGAGATTGTTTAAATAGACTTTTACATACGTGTGTAGAATGTTCTAGAACATGAAGAAAATGAACTCGAGGTTATTGTAGTCAAGTTTAAGAGATATGGTAAGTAAATTAGAGATAAAAGTTCATACAATTAGTATGGGTCATAAAATAATAGAAATAGGTAAATCATATTATGAAATAGATTTCAGTCAAAAAGATAGGAAATGGTTTACATATGCATACATACTAAGTTACCGAACATTCCGGCCACCTTGGAACAATAACTTATTTGTTTCAATAAATTACACAATATCTAATGTTTCACTGTCACTGACTGTTGATAATTGGAAGAAGGCACAGTTTGTGTATTGGGCGTTGAAGTGATCCTGCCATGGTGCGAAGGGTCACAGCACGAACTTTATTGTCAGCGGCTGGATGAAGTGATGTGATGCGGCCAAGATTCCATTTAAGAGGGGGAAGGTTTTCATCCTTGATGAGGACGATGTCATCAACTTTTAGATTGGTTTTTTGTTGTAGCCATTTATGACGTTGTTGTAGACGGGACAGATATTCTGATGACCATCGTTTCCAAAATTGCTGCTGGAGCGATTGGACTAATTGCCATCGGGACAATCGGTTCTCTGGCAAAGTAGTGAGATTGGGTTCAGGGACAGCAAGGAGGGGTTGTCCGATAAGGAAGTGTCCTGATGTGAGAACGTTGAGGTCGGATGGTTCGTTCGAGAAGGGTGTCAGCGGACGAGAATTGAGACACGCTTCGACTTGGGCGAAAATTGTGGCGAGTTCCTCAAATGTAAGGCGAGCTGAGCCACAAATTCGACGGAGGTGAAATTTGACAGATTTCACTCCAGATTCCCAAATTCCTCCGAAGTGGGGACTGCCGGGGGGATTGAAATGCCATTTGATTCCTTCTCCAGCTAGAGATTTGGCGACAAGATCGTTGTGGGTCTGAGAGATAGCTAGATTCTTGAGTTCTTGCAGTTCCTTGTTAGCTCCCACGAAATTGGTGCCACAATCTGAGTGAATGTCGGTGGGTTTTCCACGCCGGGCGACGAATCGGCGGAGAGCTGCTAGGAAGCCGTCAGTGCTAAGGGAGCTGACCAGTTCCAAGTGACAGGCACGAGTTGAGAAGCACACGAATAAGGCCAGATATGCCTTGACGGAAACTTTGCTTCTTGGAATGTCAGGGCGAAGGAGAAAGGGACCGGCGTAGTCCACGCCACACCGTTGAAATGGATACGAAGGGTTGACACGAGATGCTGGTAAGTCACCCATCAATTGCTGTTGAGTTATTGCCTTGTGTCGCGTACAGGTGACACATCTTCTGATCTGGAAACGAACTGCATCTCGGACCCTCAGAATCCAATAGTGCTGCTGGCTTATTGACATTAGAAGAGTTGGGCCAGCGTGAAGGTGACGAAGATGAAGAGAGCGGATGAGCAGTTCCGTCAGCTGAGAGTGTCGGGGAAGAAGGATTGGGTTCCTTTGATCGGATGAGATTTTCGTTGCATTCCGGAGACGACCGCCAACTCGGAGAATGGAATCGGAATCCAGGAATGGATTGAGAGAGAGAATTTGGCTGCTTTTTGATAACGGTTTGTTATATTTGATTGCGTATATTTCTTGATGGAACGATAGTGATTGCGTTATTTTTATCCATGTGTGAAGAGCTTGTCGTAGTTCTGCTGGTGTCAGAGGTCCACTGGTACGTGCAGACTGCGGTTTGCAGTTTTTTGTGAATCGTAGAATCCATGCAGTAATTCGGGTCAGGTGAGTGAGGTCGGAGTAGCGATAAAGTAGAGATAAGTCGTGTTGCGCAGTAAGGGCGGCTGTAACAACGACGACGTTTCTCTCTGCATCTTTGATTTGTTGTAGATTCTCGTCACCAACCTCAATTGGAGAGGACGGACCCCGTGACGATGATAGAAGCCACGAAGGACCATCCCACCAAAGAGATGATGATACGAGGTCACGGGCGAAGAGACCACAAGAGCAAATATCTGCAGGATTTTCTGTTCCGGGGACATGGTACCAGCACGACGAGGGGATGAGCTCCTGGATGGTTGTGACACGATTTGCCACGAAGGTTTTCCATCTTGAGGGATGTGACTTGATCCACGCTAGGACGACGGTTGAATCGGACCAAGCACGAACAGCAGTGTCTTCGGGAAGTTTGAGTGCTTTCTTCACGCTGCTTATTAGTTGAGCGAGAAGGGAGGCGCCACACAATTCGAGCCTGGGGAGTGATATTGTTTTGGAGGGTGCAACTCTAGTTTTAGATGTCACAAGGGCCACCCGGCCACCATGAGAGGAGTGGGACAGGAGGTAGACGACTGCACCGTAGGCCTTCTCTGACGCGTCGCAAAAGCCACCGAGTTCACACGAAGAGGGGATAGTGTCGACGATGCATCTTGGTATGGTAATATTATTGATGTTGTGTAGGTCTTCTTTGTATTGTGACCACAGTGTTGCAATTGATTGAGAAACTGGATCATCCCATCCTGTCTGTTCCTTCCACAGATTTTGCATAAGAATTTTTGAGAGGACGATTACTGGAGAAAGCCAACCAAGTTGGTCAAATAGCTGGGCGATTTCTGACAGGATTCTTCTCTTTGTGATTTGATTTGATGACATTGGAATGGGTGTAGCGGAACTCGAACTGGTCGTCGCGTGTGTTCCACCGTATTCCAAGTGTTTTGACAGAGGGATCAAGGGAGATGTCCAATTGGTGTTGAGATTCATGAAGATGAGAGGGTAAGCTTGCCATAAATTCAGGAGAGTTTGATGACCATTTCCGTAGGTTAAGGCCCCCACGTTGCATTAACTGCAATAATTGTTGTTGTAGATTGATGGCTGCCTCCACTGTTGACTCACCGCTGATGAGATCGTCAACGTAGAAGTCTTCTTTTGTCTTTGCAGCAGCAATGGGAAGGGACTCGGACTCGTCATCGGCCAATTGTTGTAGAGATTTTACTGCTAAGTGAGGAGCAGCAGCAGTACCATACGTGACAGTGTTAAGTCGATATTCTTGTACAGGATCAGAAGGATTTTCACGCCAAAGGATCCTTTGAAGATCTGCATCTGAGGGCGTGACCCGGATTTGGCGATACATTTTGGCGATGTCTGCAGTGAAGGCGATTTTGTGAAGACGGAATCTCATCACAATATCGACCAAGCTATCCTGCAAGGTAGGTCCAACCATCATGCAGTCATTGAGAGAGTTGGATGTGCTTGTCTTTGCAGAGGCGTCGAACACTACCCTGAATTTGGTAGTAGTGCTATCAGTCTTCTGGACAAAGTGATGGGGGATGAAATACGTTGGATTGATAGGATTTGAGACCTCCGCAGCAGGGACGAGGGACATGTGACCAAGAGAGAGGTACTCACGCATGAATTCTGTATATTGTTGATGATGATCTGGGTTCTTGACGAGTCTTCTTTCCAACTGTTGAAGGCGACGAAGAGCAGCATCACGAGAATTTCCCAGTGGAGGCATAGGCGATTTGAGAGGGAGAGATACTGTGAACCGACCGTCCTCACCACGATGATGATGAGATACATAGTGGTCCTCACATGCCTTTTCTTCTGAAGTGAGGGACCGCTGCTCGGGAACGGACTCCACTTGCCAGAAGGATTGAAGGCGCTTATCCAAATCCACATCCGCGACGTAGACTTGGGGACGAGAGAGAGATTTGTTGACATTTCCAGCCACTAGCCAGCCAAGAGTGGATTCGATGCCCATGGGAGTACCTACTGCTCCATGCTGTCGTCCACCTCCGACCAGAGACCAGAAAACGTGGGATCCAAGGAGGATGTCTATGGGACCAGGTTTGTAGTAGCCTGGGTCTGCGAGTTTGATTGAGTTTAGGTGTGACCAACGGGAAGTGTCACATTGTTGTAGTGGTAAGTCTTCAGTAATTCTTGGGAGAACCAAAGCATCCACTGAGTACGAATTGGTTGCAGGGAACCTGGGTTGAAATACGAAAGAAGTGGCACCTTGAGCAGTTCCTACGGGGGCAGCAGCAAGACCGAGAACCTCAGCGGCGCTTCTTTTCTTCTTAAGTCCGAGTTGCTGAAGGCAGCGAGATGTGATAATGCACGTCGTGGATCCTCCATCTAGAAGAGCTCGACAGGATTGCTGTTGTCCACGGGCATCGTTTACAAGAATGATCGCAGTTGCGAGCATACCATGAGAAGATCGAGTTACTTGGTCATCTTGAGAATGGTGAGACAAGGCCAAGGGTTGCACATGAGAATCGTTTGATTTGTGTAGAAGGCTGTGATGTTTTCCGTTACATTTCTTGCATCGCCCAGTATTGGTGCAGGATTTGGTTTGATGGTTATCCAGCAAGCAATTATAACAGAGGTTGAGTTGACGTATTTCTTGTTCTCTTGCAGGAACAGAGAGTAGGTGGAGTTTGGGACATTTTCAGATTGGATGAGGGTTCACTCCACATACTTTGCAATTTGATTCTGTGTGAGTGTGATGAACATGGGCTCGAGTTGGACTTGGTTCTGGTTTCGAAGAGTTACGAGGTTTTGGACCGGCTGCCAGAGCACGAGCGCGCTGTTCCATGAATTCGAAGAGTTCAGCTAGGGTTGGGATGGAGTTGCCTTTCAGTGATTGTTCCCACAGTTCACGGGAAGTATGATCCAATTTATTGAGAATTGTGAAAAGCATCATGGCATCAGTTGTTTTGTCTGTGTTTAGATTGAGAATTTGGAGAGATCGCTGACATTCTTTGCTTGTGTCGACCAGACTGCGGATGGATGACGACGAGTTTGCTGCAGGCTGATTGTAGAAGCGGCGAAGAATCGCAAAGAGGATTTCTCTGTCGTTTTGGTAGCGATCATGAAGTTGCTGCCATGCGATGTCGTAATTGGCATCACTCAGGACCATGGATTGTATTAGTTTGGCAGGTTCACCCTTCAAATATGATTTTAGATATGTTAGTTTCTGACCTTTACTGATTGTAGTGTTGCTGTGAATAGAGGCTGTGAAGAGGTCACGAAACGAGGTCCATTCGAGGATACTGCCGTCGAATGCCTTCAAGTCGAGTTTCGGTAGTCGAATTTGTTGTGTTGATGAGTTTGTCGATGAATTAGTGATGGGAAGACTTGCTTGAATTCCATGAAGCGCATTGTGGATGGAATCTGCAGAATTTAAGAGCAGAAAGAGATCTTGCTTGTGAGTTCCCATGTGGTTGGGGCAAAGGGTACGAATCTTGAGGTGGATTTCGTGAAGTTTCACACGACAGGATGCAACTTCCTCAAGTAGGATGGGGATGCTGGTCCCATCGACGGGCGTCACTTGATGGGCTTTCACTTTGCTGTCGATGTACTCAAGCGTGTCTGCAACGGCATCACGTTCGGCGACGAATTTGTCGATTGGTGCCATGACGGCGATGATTAAGGGTAGAGGGGATAAAACTGGACTTCAACTTACGGGTGATTGAGTTCTGGTAGGGTTTGAGATATCGTACTGATATCTGGTTCGAGCGAGACCAAATGATGGGGCCGTGTCGTTGAAGTATGTTTTCTCCTGGGGTGCATTGGTGTGGAAATGTGTACCCTTTTTGGTTTATGAATATGTGCACTTTGGGTGTGGATAGGTGTGCATAAATCAGTGGGTGGACTTGGACAAACTCGAGTAACCTTGACTTGACTTTACTTGACAATGACTCGTAACAGAATGGACAGGAGTATGAATGTTGAGATTGTTTAAATAGACTTTTACATACGTGTGTAGAATGTTCTAGAACATGAAGAAAATGAACTCGAGGTTATTGTAGTCAAGTTTAAGAGATATGGTAAGTAAATTAGAGATAAAAGTTCATACAATTAGTATGGGTCATAAAATAATAGAAATAGGTAAATCATATTATGAAATAGATTTCAGTCAAAAAGATAGGAAATGGTTTACATATGCATACATACTAAGTTACCGAACGTTGATGTTGAATTTGGTATATGAAATTTTTGTTACATGCAATTTTAAGATTTTTTTGCTAGGGTTTACAGTTTATAATTTTTTTTCTCCAATTTTAATATTACCCATTGATATTATAGATCCATGGGTATGTAATTTTGAGTTCAAATAAAAATTGAAAACTTATTTGCACAACATTAATATGGACATTTTTGTTGCAATTTTGACTGTAAAATATTTGCATATATTTGTAATCCACTTTTTTTCTGTTCAACGCTGAAAGAATTTTTATGATACGGTTTAACTGCTTCGGTATGCATAGTACAGATTGTTTGAACTAATTATTCCCCACGGCCCCACAATATTGATACGTCCAAATTAAAAAAATGCATTTTATGCGAAGGAAAGAAATTTGTAGGAAATTTTGATGCTGAATTTTGTGTGAAATGTTGAAAGAAATATTTTTTTGTTGGTGTTCAACGCTTAAAGTTTTTTTTTCCAGTTTTAATAATAAAATTGTAAATTGAGATGACATACGGCTAGTTTCGCACAGCTGACAAATCCCTAAAACTTTGACAAATATTTATTTTAAATTTCAAATTTGTTTCAAAAATTAATTCATATATTTAAAATTCTTGCATTTTTTTGTAAAATCGGATTTTTTCTTAAAAATTTTCAACAGAGGTGGAAAAGAACATGAAAATATAGAAGAAAAAACAGGAAAATTTTCCAAGGGGTCAACGACACCGTAGCGAACATTATGCATCTCTTTTCCAATGTTTTTCTCGGTCATCGCCAGATTTATTTGATTTTTGACATACTACTTCTCGGAAATTTACTTTCTCAATTAAAGTTTCTTAAAAAAAATTGGTACAAAATGGAAGTGCGCCACGAACTTTCTCGTATTCACAAGAACCAACTCCGCGCAACTCTTCTCGGTGCGTCGACGTCCCATCAAGGTCAAGGAGGCCACCCGTCGGGAACAGAATGCCCGTCATCATCGTCATGTCCCGTCGCGACAACGTCAACGTCAACTTCCGGTCCAGCAGTGACGGCGCTGCCGATTTACCACTTGGAAGAAATCTCTGACCCGTCGAAAGGTTATCGAGTTTCCCATCCGGACATGGAGCTCTTCAAGAGGCAGAAGTTAGGTTATCTTTTCACCGACGGGGAGGAAAATGTAAGTTTTTTGGGGGGAATTTGGTAGGTGATGAAATGTATGAAAATGTATGATTTTTTGGGGCGTAAAAATGTCTGAAAACTATAATTTGGGAAAAGTAAGTTTTTTGGGGGGAATTTGGAAGGTGTACAAATGTGGGAATTATGGGGTTGAAAATGTGTGAAAATTGACGATTTTTTGGTGAAAATTTAAGAAAAGTATGGTTTTTCTCCAGCTTGTCGACTTGCAGCAAGGGCTGGAAAACGGAAGGCAAGTCCCTGTCCCAGACGTCGTGGAGATTAGTGACGAACGTTACGACAAACTTTATCCTGTCATTGATTGTCCCATCTTCATCAGTCAGACGGATCACGCATTCGGATCCGGATCATCCACCGAGACGACGGGTAGGTTAGATTACTTCTCAATTTTTTTAGTTGATAGGTCATGGCTTTATGTCTCAATTATTTACAGAATTAGGTACAGAATCACCGCCTCCCTACTATTTGAATGAGTCAATGTTGTGCTCCTCTTTCGGCGAAGGATGTGACACGGATTACGACCTTGATGAAGAAGATGCAGAATTTCTAGTCGAAAAGAGACGAGTAGATCCAACCTTCACCGTCACGGAGAGTATGGTACGACCAAAGATTTCCAGGTTTTCAAGGATGGACAACATAATTTGTTAAATAAAATACAGTATTTTGTCCCCGTTCTTCCCAGCTATTGGATTTCAGGGGGTGTCACAGCCACAAAAGGACGAGAATCTATGTCGAGAATACAAGTCGCATAGGCGAAAATGTGAAGAACTTAACTTTTTATCGTCCATTTTCACGGTTTTATAAAAATTTTGATAGCTATAAAAAGTAAATCTCCTCACAAAACACGTATTTTCGTACGCTTTCTTTATTCTCGATGTAGATTCTCTTCGTTTTGTTGAAGTAGCACCCTGTGGAAATTCAAGTTCCTGTAAAAACCGGGGGAGATAGCAAACTATTCTGTTCACCTCTCTGCGTAGCTTATCATACCGACCTTATCATGATATGTGTCCCCCTTTTTTCCAGTTTGAAGGACTAATTTCCTACTTTCTCGCCCACAATTTGTCCTCCAAGTCGGATTTCGATCAACTCCTCATCACATTAGATGAAGCTCTGGCCGCGGCTGAGGAACCGCCACCGCCGCCACCACCGATTCCTGTTCCGTCATCAAACGCGTCGTCTTCTCCCCGGTCACCAAAGCCAGAAAAAAAGAAACTAGGTCCAGACCCCAAACCCCCACCACTTTTTCCGATCAGTGTCCCCTCTCGGTCCCAACTTTGCTCGGTGATGGAGTATTTTTTGGAAAAAAGCGAAAAAATCCCATCCTCGCTGGCCTGGCAGCCGGTTCACATTCCGGAGAAAAAATCGAGAGCATCACCAGTTCGAAAACCAAGGAAGAAATCAACAACATCATCAGCGTCACCTGGCTCGCCACGACCCTTCGCGTATAAAATATTTCGTCCCCCGATTCCCAAAGTGGAGCCGAAAGTGTTGCGTTCTTCAAAAAATTTAGACTGGAATTTCGCCTCGGTGAGGCGACTGAAAAAGAAAGCGAGCGTGGTCTGCAATTTCGCCACATATTTCAAGAGCGTGATGCAACTCCAAGTCGCGAGGGGGTTAGAGCAGAGGAAATTTATTGCGGACAAGTTGGCGGAGTTTGAGATGAAGATAGCGGCGGAGAATGGGGAGGGTGGCGACAACGTGGAGAAAGGTGGCGACAACATGGGGAAGGGTGGTGTCGAAATTCCTACCGGCGACGACGTGGTGGGTGGCGAGGAGCATGTCGAAGTTCATGGCGGCGACGGCGACCCGAACGAGATTCAAATGAATAGGAGGTCGTCTTCTGCTGCTTCTGAGGCTACTACTCTGAGCGGAAGTGACTATTCAGATGCCACGACGGTGGAAATGACGACGGAAGAAAGCTGCTCGGATGGGGAGTGTCCAACCACCGTGAGCGGAAGTGAATGCTCAGACTTTATGGAAATTACGACGCCAGAAACGGACGACGCGACGAAAACAGAAGAAGAAGCCTTGGACGATTCTGTAGAGTTGGTGGATCCGGCTGGAAATAAATTAAGTCCTGCCACGTCCATTTCCCTCTTTGCAAAAATGACAGGAAATGATGTCCTCTTTGTCGGCGAGGTGAATAACGAGAACAATCCACCCGCCGTGAAGAAACGTGGTCATAAATCCTTCCCATCTTCCATTTCCTCTCGCCCAAAATCTGAGAAGAACGTTGCCAGCAAGGTGTCGTCTCCCCGATATCCGAAACGAACCCGGTTATCCGATCAGGGACAAGAAACGTTGCGATGTTCGCCACCTCCTGGACCGGATCACACGTACTGCGCTCCAATCTCACCCAGTCACATGTCAATGTCGGAGGATTGTGAGGACACGAATTCGATGCAGGACATACCCCCACCACCACCACAGGAGGACGGAGAGATGTGGGACGTCTTGGCACAACTTGACCTCGGTGGGGAAGAGGGGGTGCAGGGAGAAGGCAAGAAATTAGAGCCATCTTTCCCCATAAAGTGGGTTAAAGAAATCATGTCAGAAATTTTAAATGAAGATGGAGGAGGAGGAGAAGGAGGCGAAGAAGATTCTCAGGTCTCAGAAAGCCAGGAATACTTTCGACATGTGTACGTCGTACATCCAGAGAATTCGGGACAGGTTGGAGGACAAGATTCCGCTACGAATCCAGTACAAAATTCCCACGCCACGAGTCCACAAAATTTCCAGGATATGAATCCTCCTCGTTGATGAACTAGCCTTTAGTCAACCTTCTCTGCATGAATCTCAATTTTTTACAGAAACTTATGTCTATTTTTATACAATGTTTACAGAATATTTATTTGAAAAACTATACGTGCTATCAATCAGTATTATGTAATAATGAAAAAAGTGCAAAATGAATGGAAATAATGTGCATCATTTTATCAGAAAAATCGTCACAATTTTATCCTGGTTTACGATTTTAGAGTATTTTTTTCAGAAATTATTATTTTCTTCTCCATTTTGGAATTTGTATTTGTTCAGCAACATTCTTTGACTTCAAACCCACACTTGACGCATTGTTTCTTCCACAAACAAGCCAACAGGAAATAAGCAAATGGCGCAAATGATTCCACAAACGAGGGCGTTATTATCGGTTATCATCAATCCCTAAGGAAAAAATGATGGCAGGTTATCCATAAAATAGAGTTTGAAGTTTGATAGAGGCTTATCGAATAGAGAGTTAGGTAACACAGAAGGAGCAAATTTGAACAGGTTTAGGACAAAAATTTGAACAAGGTAGGAAAAATCGACCACATTCAGGACAATTTTGAGTACACAAATTTTACCATTTCGAGACCAAAAATTTTGCAGTTCAAAAATAAAAATTTGACCCATTTTACAGACAAAAATTTGCCATAAATTAAGGACAAATGGTTGGACAGATTAAACTTACACCACAATTTGGACACAACCCAGGCCCGTACATCCCAAGAGTCACACTAATTAATTAATTAATTGCCTATTATTAATTATTAAAATCAGATAAAATTTATTTCAAATTCAAAAATTCTGTCGTTCTTTAGCATACACATGTACGGGAACAGCGGGCGGCGGGTAACCCTTATCGCCGGCTGATTGACCTTGATGCTTGGATGGGTGCTGCGACGGGGGGCCTCCATGCTGACCTGGAACCCAAACGTGGACAATTCTTAATTATTTAATTAATGACCCCAACCAATTAAAAACTCGCAATATTTACCTGAAGTGGTTGATTGTTCTTCCCTTGCTGCTGCATTTTGATAAAAAGATCGATTTGTTCAAACAAAAAAGAACAAGAACAAACAAGAGGGACCTACATACAAAAAATATGATATTTAGAATTTATCGCAATTTGTAGATTTGCCAAAAAAATATTTGTCTCTCAAAAATATGATGACAATTATTTAAATTCTACGAAACCCTGACGATTACCACAAACAAAAGTAGACAAAAAAATGTAAGTCTAGGAATTGAAAAAAAAATCGACAACACCTACTTTTTGCCAGTCCGATTGTTCTTGTCCTTGTTCAGCCCGAACAAATCAATCTTTCCGTCAAAATGGAGGAACAAGGTCAGTACAATCAAGGTCAGTACTACAAGTAAACATTACGAATTTTTAATTTTTTGTGATCAATTAATTAATAATTAATTATCGTCCGCTTTTGTCCGCCAGGTCAGCACCCGTCCCAAACTCAAGCAGGTTACCCGCTCCCGGCGCTCCTCCCGTGTAAGTGCAAACTAAAGAAATTCCTTATTTTTCAATTAAAATTAAATTTTAATTAAAAATACTTCTTTCATTAGTGTGATGGTTGCCGGGGAAGGAGTGTGCCCAAACTGTGGGGTAGGTTCAATTTGTGTACTCAAAATTGTTCTGAATTTGTTCTAAATATTCGATAAGCCTCTTTTTATGGATAACCTGACACCTTTTTTTCCTCAGGGAATGATGTTGACCGACAACAACGGCTTAATTTGTGGACTCATCTGGACCTTTTGCTGCTTTCCTTTTGGCCTGATCTGCTTGCACTCGATGTGGAAGAAACGCTGCGTCAGCTGCGGATTTGAAGTGCCTCAGTGCTGCTGAATTATATAATACACATTTCGAAATGGGAGAGAAAATCAAAATTAGGATGATTTCTGAAAAAATACTTGTAAACTACTCACGTATGTAAAACAGCATAAAATTGTGTATTGCTTTTGTACAAATAAAACAAGACTGGATTTATTATAATGGCAATGTTTGTAGTAAAGATATACATTATTTTCGAGTATTAGTAAAGTGCAGCAATTTTTAGAAATTAGGAAGACGACTTGTATAGTTTTTCATAAAAAATTGTTCAAAATTGTATAAAAGTAGGGATAAGTTTCCTTAAAAATTTAAAATTCATAGGGAGGCAGAAAGTTATTCAGTGAAGGATGGTCCATCAACTTGGAGGAGGATTCATGTGGGACTCTTGGTTTGAATCGGTGTGGAAATTTTGAGCAGGATTCGTGGCGAAATCTTGTACTCGGCTCGTGGCGTGGAAATTTTGGGCTGGATTCGTGGCGTCAACATCTTGTCCTCGATTCGTGGCGTGGAAATTTTGAGCAGGATTCGTGGCGAAATCTTTTCCTCGACTCGTGGCGTGGAAATTTTGGGCTGGATTCGTGGCGTCAACATCTTGTCCTCGATTCGTGGCGTGGAAATTTTGTGCTGGATTCGTGGCGAAATCTTGTACTCGGCTCGTGGCGTGGAAATTTTGGGCTGGATTCGTGGCGTCAACATCTTGTCCTCGATTCGTGGCGTGGAAATTTTGTGCTGGATTCGTGGCGAAATCTTGTACTCGGCTCGTGGCGTGGAAATTTTGGGCTGGATTCGTGGCGTCAACATCTTGTCCTCGATTCGTGGCGTGGAAATTTTGTGCTGGATTCGTGGCGAAATCTTGTACTCGGCTCGTGGCGTGGAAATTTTGGGCTGGATTCGTGGCGAAATCTTGTCCTAAACTCTAGGCGTGCAAATAGTGTGCCGTGGCGTAGAAAATTAAATCTTGTCCTCTAGCCTGTCTAGATGGGTCGAAGAATTCTCCGAACCCGGACGCAACATGTACACATGTCCGAAATATTCCTGAATTCATATTTACATTTTTTTAATTTAAGTTTTTAAGTCCAAAATTTGCATTTTTGTTGAATGAAATTATGACACGCCATATTTTATTCCCACATTTTTTATCCGTATTACTCACGTACAGATTAACAACTTAAAAAATGAACCACATCACCAGAGTCTTGTTAATCCGGGATTACGGATTGAGGATTGAGATTGGGATTGGGGATTAATTAATCCTTAATCCCTATCCTCAATCCGTAATTTTTGACTTTTAATCCCTAATCCTCAATCCCAAGAAGTTTGGAAAAAATAATTAATCCTCAATCCTAATCCCGGAAGCAATTGATTAATTTTAATCCAAGATGGGATTAAAATGGGATTAAATCAGCTCCACCTGTTGAAAATTCTCGGAGACCTTGCAAATTCTCCTTTTGTTTCAATGAGAAATATGTTTCCCATACCTATCAACGATATATTTACGGCAATTCCATCATTATATTTCACAAACAACAATTCGATTATAAAACAAATATAGCTCATGTCTTTAAAAACATTTGATAAAACTTTATCTGTTCAACTTGATTTTAGTTCAGTGATCACTTAATAAGCAACCTTACTTTATGTCGCTAATGTGTACTTCGTATGGCCGTATAATAATAACCCAGAGCGGCCCGTGGGAGTGCCCACTCACTCACACTTCAATGCTAATCAAATAGCGACAACTCGCACTTTAGGTCATTATTTATACGGTCATTAGGTTACGTCAGGATTCATATTCAATCACAATGTTAGGAGTCAGGACTTATCAAACAACTTGATTAAAACATTCAAAACTAGTAGATATAAAGGTGATCGACGACAAACACGATTTTAATCCCAATCCGGGATTAAAATTGGACTAAATTAATCCTAATCCCTAATCCCATTGAATGCCTAGAGAGATTTAATCCCGAATTAATTTTAATCCCGAGTTAATTTAATCCTTAATCTCAATCCTCAATCCCGATTTTTAAAAAAATCAATCCCTAATCCTAATCATTAATCCCACTTTCATTAATCCCAAGACTCTGCACATCACCAATAAGTTGATAAATTAATTAATTAAAATCTTGTCAACATTATTCTGGGGCTGGTTCAAAACCTGAATTTCTACTGGTTGTACGACGACTGGGGTCGATTCCACGACTTCGACTGTGGAGGCATCATTTCAGTCGTCACTTCCGGTTTGTCGGTGACTTCGGGGTCGGGCTGCTTTTTGCGGTCGGTGGGGTGGATCGGGTGAGAAATTTGGGAAAGATCGGGGTGATTTTTTTCAGCTCAGTGAGCCCTTTTTCTGCGATGGCGTAAAGGTCAGGGTGACCCGACTGGATTGAGGCGTACCACGATTTGACGCCTGGACAATGGACATGAATCCTCCACTCAATAACCTTCTCCGCATGAGTTTTATTTTTTTAAAGAAACTTTTCCCCATTTTTACCCCATTTTTTGAACAATATGAATAAGTACAAGTACTCTACTCGCAAAAAAGTAGGTATTGCAATTTTTTGGGAATTTTCAAGTTGAAAAACAATGCTGTTTTATTTGTTATCAGATAAATCGTCATTGTAATAAATCCCGTCTTATTTTATAAGCAATACATACTATCTTATATTGTTTTACGAGTATTTTACGAGTATATTTTTCAGAAATCGTCTTAATTCTTATGCATTTCCTCCCCCACGTTGAAATTGGTATTGTTCAGCAACATTCTCCGACTTCATATCCGCAGTTGACGCAGCGTCTCTTCCACAAGCAGAGCAAGAAGACAAGTCCAAATAAAGGAAATATGACCAAGCCCAAAATAAGGGCACAAACCAGCATTCCAATGTCGGTTACCATCATCCCCTGAGCAAAAAAAAATGTGTCAGGTTATCTTCAAGAAAGAGGCAGATTGATAAAGAGGCTTATCGAATAGTGAGAGTGAGGTAAGTACAGAATGGGGGACAAAATTTGGACAGTTTTAGGACAAATGTTTGAACAGGAGAGTAAAAATAGAGTAAATTCGGGACAATTTTAAGTACACAAAGATTTCGAGGACACAAATTTGACCAGTTCAAAGACAAAAATTTGACTCATTTGGGACAAATTTACCATAAATTTGGCTAACTTGAGAACAAAATTTGACCAGTTTGAGAACAGAAATTATGGAAATTCAGTCCAAAAAATTGACTAGATTGGACCTACCCCACAATTTGGACACCTCCCAGCCACCCCCACTCCACCCGTAACCAGGCTATTGAATTAATTGACCATTATTAATTGCTTGCATTTTAAAAATATCATTTTAATTTGATAACGATGTAATATTTCCTTAACCTTTTAAAAACGGATTCCACCAATAAGGTGGAGGGCGATTTCGATCTCTTGGCGACGGACTACACCAATAAGGTGTAGGCCAAATTTTTCGCCTTAGCGACGGACTACACCAATAAGGTGTAGGCCAACTTTTTCTCGTTGGCGACGGATTCCACCAATAAGGTGTATGGTTACAGAATTCCGTTGAGACCGGGCTACATCAATAAGGTGTAGGAAAAAATAAAAATAAAATGACCGAGAAAATTTTCTCAGTTCCATTCTTTCCTCCTTATTTGTCGTTGGTTTTTCTTCAAGCCTGAACTAATTTTTTTAGAGTTTAGAGTTGTAGTTGTAGTGGGGGGAGGAACTCGGAGGAAGTGCATCAGAGGTCACGCCGCGCCCCCGAAAAATTATCCAACATTGGCGCCGCTAATAAATTGGTCGGCGTTGACCTCTGACCTGTATCATGTTGTAAATATGATACAGTTCATATTTTTTTTAAATTATCACAACGTTCTCTTTAGCTAATATATTCGCAATAGTGTCACCACCGATCGGAACAAGTCACAGAACACTGAAGGACAAAATTATAGCTAATAACTTGTTTAAAATATAAAATGCATCCCAAAATCAGTGTCATCAAATTGATGACATGAATGATGACGATTTATTCGTTTAGTTTATTTTTGTAGTACTATCAAAATCAAATCCGATCTTTTTATCAAAATTAATATCGTGTGTTCATTTGGTTCAGTTGCAATTTCATGTTAAAAATGTATTATGTTCTAATTTTTGTTGTCGAATCAGTTCCAGGTCTCTAATAAATCATAACTGCATCAGTAGAATATTCAAAATCGGTTTGCATTAATTCAGTCCCCAACTGATTTTATCACCGCCCCACAAGTCGGTCTCAATGGTATTCTGCCCCCCAGTAAATCCGCCCCCAAATGCAATAGAAACCATTTTTAATTCCGTTTTTAAATGGTATCCAGGTCAAAATTAATTAGTTTTTATAAGGTTAACTTACACGGTACTGGGTTGCGGCGGATAGCCCATTGGTTGTTGGGACGGGTGCTGACCGGGTGGCGGATAACCCATTGGTGGTTGACCGGGCGGCGGATAACCCATCTGCTGTTGGGACGGACCTGTGGCACACAAAGGTGGACAATAATTAATTAATTACTTGACCCCAAACAGGTTCAAAAAATGGCAATAATTATCTACTTGGAGGAGGAAGCTGACTGTACTGTTGACTGAACTGCGAGGGTTGTCCTTGTTGCTCCATTTTGACGGAAAGGTTGATTTGTTCCAGAAAAGAACAATCGCAGACTCGCAAAAACTATGTGTTCTCGAGTTTATGACGTAATCTTCATGTATTTCAATTCGTTGGCGTCTCTGATTTTGGTTGTTATACTCCAGGATTCTTCAATCACTAACGGCTACGGCCGGTGTTTCTAGTGTAAATTGTTTCAAATCATCCTGGTTATACTCGTCATATTTTTTTAAGGTTACGAAACCCTGACGATTATAATACAAAGTCAGATTTTTTTTGTCAATCTACGAACTGAAATAAATTCGAAAAAAAAATTGTCTTGTCGGTTCCACTTTTTGTTCTTGTTCTTTTTTGTCCGAAAAACAAATCACTCTTTTTGTCAAAATGGCACAACAAGGACAACCTCAGTACAATCAAGCCCCGCCAAGTAAATATTGTGATTTTTTAATTTGTTCTGGTCAATTAATTAATTATTGTCCGTCTTTCTGTCTGGCAGGTCAGCACCCGTCCCAACATCAACCCGGTTACCCACCGCCTGGGCCCGGCGCTCCTGTGTAAGTGCAAACTAAAGCATTTTTCAATTAAAATTCGATTTTAGCTGTTTTTAATTAATAATAATTCATTCATTAGTGTGATGGTCGGGGAAGGAGTGTGCCCAAAATGTGGGGTAGGTTCAATTTGTCCAATTTTTTTGTTCTTATTGATTACAGTCAAAGTTTGTGTCCTTGAATTGGGGATTGTCCTCAAAATGGTCAAATTTTTGTCCTCATGACGGGGGCAAAATTTTGTGCTCGGAATGGGTCAAATTTTTGTCCTCGGAATGGGTCAAATTTTTGTCCTCGGAATGGGTCAAATTTTTGTCCTCGGAATGGGTCAAATTTTTGTCCTCGGAATGGGTCAAAATTTTGTCGTGAACTGTCGAAATTTTGTGCTTGAAATGCTGTCAAATTTTTGCCTTTGAACTGGCGAAATTCTTGTCCCCAAAATTGTCCTGAATTTGCCCGGTTTTTGTTCTCTTGTTCCAATTTTTGTCCTGAAATTGTCCAATCCGTAATTAACCTGACTGTAACTATTCGATAAGCCTTTTTTTATGGATAACCTGACACTTTTTTTCCTCAGGGAATGCTGTTGACCGACAACAACGCCTTCATTTGTGGACTTCTCTGGGCCTTCTTCTGCTTTCCTTTTGGCCTGATCTGCTTGTCCTCGATGTGGAAGAAACGCTGCGTCAGCTGCGGATTTGAAGTGCCTCAGTGCTGCTGAATGAATACAAATTTCGAAATGGGAGTGAAAATAATAATTTCTGAAAAAATACTCTAAAATTGTAAACCAGGACAAAATTGTAGATTGGATAAAATTGTATGTTGATGTATGTATCAATAAAACTAAACGGATTGATTGCAACGATGATGTTTGTGATAAAGGTACACATTATTTTCGAGTCTAAGCTGATAAGTGAAGTAACTTTTAAGAATTAAGGAATTAAAAATTAAGCACATTTTTTTGTTTGTCCTTTTTTGTTCTTGTTCATTTCTGCCCGAACAAATCATTCTTTTCGTAAAAATTAGATAGTACTTAAGTATAGTTTTTCATACAAATATTGTTAAAAAAAATATGGATAAGTTGCCTTTAAAACTTAAAAATCATACGGAGAAGGGTTTAGATTGAGTAAAAGGCTGATCAATCAACTTGGAGGAGGAATCGTGTCGTGGAAATCTTGCGATGCGTTGAAATTTTGTGTCGGAATAGTGGCGAAAATTTAGGTTAGCATATCCCTAAGGGCTGAGGAATTCTCCGAATCCGAACAAAACAACACGTACACATGTCCGAAATATTGAGGGTATTCACGCACCCTTGGTAACTACGTAAACAGCGTAAAATCCGTAAACTTACAAACGTTTACAAACAGCTTCCCGTGAATTCACTTTCGCAATTATTTTCGTAAAAATTTATTTGATAATTGAAACAAAATGCCGATTATTTCCAGAAAAAGGAAATTAATGGAAGAAATTTGTGGAGCTGTATTTATTGATGTAATAAAGCTCTTATAAAAATTTCGAAATTCAACCCTCCAAAATTCTAATCCTAAGTTATTTTTCGACTCCACACCAAATCTTAGCTGAATATATAAATTCTTCAAAATCGGTATGGGTACCCCTTCCTTATTATTGCCCATCTGGTTATTTTGTGTTCATCTTTGACTTCATATTCTTTCATGAGAATCTATTAAGTATCACTGTTCTGAATTTCAGCTTTTTGAGACAAGTTATGAAAATCGGTATGGGTCACCCCAGCGGGTCCCAGATGTGAAAATTTTACCAATTTCACTTCATATTCTTTCATTAGCAGCCACTAGCAACCTTTATGCCAAATTTCTGCATCGAACAATTTTTTTCTTCCCCAAATTGAGTTTACAAAATACCGGGTTGTTAAAGAGACAGTAATTTGATAAGGGGTTGCGCAACGTGAGCACTTTTTTCGATTTTTTAAATTTTGAAAAAGCTGGTGGTCCGGACCACCAGCTCCTGATTGGTTGTTAGGTTTTCCATACAAAATTTTTATTTCATGGCTTATTCTGGTAGCTGTTTGTCCGTCTGTCGTCACGATAAAATAATCTTATCATTCCTATCCTGTATTATCCTTATGTTTTAGTATTGTTGGAATTCAAATCTTTATCGATTTAAAATAATATAGAGTGTTTTTATAATGTATGTACATAAAAAACGGTATTAAATTGTGCTTGTGTATTTGTATGTATACATATACTGATAATTTCTGAATCGGGCTATGCAAAGTTGTACGGTGAGATTTAATTGAGTTTCCCCTCAAATTTACTTAGTGATTTAGCTTAGTGATTAATTTTTTTCAAAATTTAATTTTTTAATTATTTTTAAAAAATCGCCCACGTTGCGCAACCCTTTATCAAGTTACTGTCATTTTAACAACCCTGACAAAATACTTTACAAAATTAAAAGACGCCTGTGAGCTGCGTAAGTTTACAAAAGTTTGTAAACTGATTTTCCTTGGCAATTTTTGTAAAAGTTTGTAAACGTTTGTAAGTTTACGGATTTTACGCTGTTTACGTAGTTACGAAGGAGTGCGTGAATTGCCTCATTGCTTAATTCATAAATTCTTTGAAAAAAATTTAAATTTTAGGGTGTAAATTTGCAGCTTTGCTGAATGGATTATGACAGCCCCACATTTTGTTCCTGCATTTACTGTATTTGTCCGTATGAATACACATCCAGATTAAACTTTGAAAAATTAATCAAGTAAACTGATTTAAATGTTTTCAAAATTATTGTGGAGCTGATTCCATTGTTTCCGACGATGATTCATTTAAACTTGTATGACGACACAGTCGGTTCCACGGCTTGCGGCGGAGGGATCATTTCACCCACTTCCGGTTTGCTGGTGACGTCGACGTCGGTGGGGTGGATCGGGTGAGAAATTTGGGAGAGGTCGGGGGGATTTTTTTTCAAACTCTTTCAGCTCAGCGAGCCCTTTTCCGCGATAGCGTAGAGGTCACGGTGACCCGACAGGATTGCGGTGTACCACGATTTGACGCCGATCAACATTGAAGTAATTTCAATTTAGATTGAGTTAAATAAATTAAGGTTTATAAATTTTGTGTACAAGTTTTGTAAGTGAATCTTGCGTAAAGTTATGTTCTGACTTCTAGCTACATACATACATAATTTAAGTAAAAAGAGAGGCTATAATTAGGACGTGGCTTAATTTTGGAACTATACATGCTATTTGGTGTAAAAGTATGGATTATAATTTAGGGGCAAACGGACTTTTGCAAATTTTTGTTCAAATAAAAGTCACTAAATGCAAGTTTTGAGATTCTTTCGGCCTTTCGATTGGAGGATAAGATTTCGCCACCAATCCAAAACAAGATTTCCAAGCCAAACGAGCCCCCACAAAATTTCTGCGTCACGAGTCCAGGACGCCACGGCACATAAATTTTCAAAGCTATGAGTCCAAGTCCAAGCTCTATTCATGTGGGTTGCATATTTATGAGATTGCTGCATTTTTTCTACTAATTTAAAACAATGCGTAATGTTTTATCAGATAAATCGTCATTGTAATAAATAAATCCCGTATTATTTTATTCGAGTATGAATTCACTATTTTATCCTTTTTTATGAGTATTTTTTTCAGAAATCATTCCAATTATTATTTTCTCCCCAATTTCGAAATTTGTATATCTTCAGCAACACTGAGGGACTTCATATCCGCAATTGATACAGCGTTTCTTCCACATACAGATCAAGGCGAGGAAGCCAACAGGAAATAGGATAAAGCCCAAAATGATTGCAAAAATGAGCATTCCCATGTCTTCCACCATCATCCCCTGAAGAAATAAAAGGTGTCAGGTTATCCAGAAAAAAATGCACAGCTTGATAAAGAGGCTTATCAAATAGTGAGAGTGAGACAAGGAAATTGACGAAGAAAATTTGAGCAGCTTCAATAAGGGCAAAAAGTTTAAGATTCGAGAACAAAAATTGGCCAAATTCAGGACAATTTTGAGCACACAAATTTTAAGCGTTTTGACAGTGTTTTGCAAGTGCAAGTAGTGGTTCTTACAGGTATTTTGACCTACAAGAAATGAAAGATGCAAGAAACTGCACGAAAGTTTCAGAATATTTCTTGCAGTTTCTTGCACGATGAATTTCTTGCGTTTCTTGCTTTGCAGTGCAAGAAATGTAGAAAAAACCGCAAGAAGCGGAACACTGCATTATAAGGACAACAATTTGACCGCTTCAAAAACAAAAATTTGACCCACTTCAGAGAAGTTTACCACTTCGAGGACAAAAATTTGATTAGATTTCAAAATAAAAGTCGAACACAAACGAAACACTGAACTTTGAGGACAAAAATTTGGCTCATTTCAGACAAATTTACCAAAATTGAACTTACCCCACAATTTGGACACCTTCCAGCCCCCTGGTACATCCCAGGCATGATACTAATGAATTAATTGGCTATTATAAATTACAATTAGGCAAAATTAAATTTCAATTTAAAAACAATATCTTTCGTTAGTTTGCACTTGCACGACGGGAGCGACAGCGACAGGTGGCGATGGATAATAACCCGCTTGAACTTGGGACGGGTGCTGGGACGGATGCTGACCTGGGAAAGGTGGAAAATAATTAATTAATTTAATTGATCCCAAACAATTAAAATTCGCAATATTTACTTGGAGGAAGTTGATTGTACTGGGGTGGCTGCATTTTTGCATCTTGTTGCTGCATTTTGACAAAAAGATTGACTTGTTCTCGGACAAAAAAGAACAATGGGACCGACAAAAAGTATGTATTTTAAAAATTTATTTGTTTATTTGTTTGTCAATTTTGTTTGCAAAAAAAATATGTTTGTCCCTTGTTGCAATCGTCAGGGTTTCTCCGTAGAATTACAAAAAATATGTATCTCGATCTCGAACGATTTCGACACGTAGTTGTTTGTTATACGACTAGAATTGATTGAATTAAGTTGACCTTTACCGTGACCTCTGTGGGGACAAATGATGATGCCATTTCGATGTAAATTTTCCGAGAAAAAAATACTTAAAATGAAAAGTCGATCAATGCCAATTAAATATTATCACTTCAAAACGTGACCCCAATATCCGACGCCACAAAGAGGACAACAATTCTTATGAATTTCCAGAAACGAAACACTAATAATTTTTCAAAAAATCTTGTGACAAATTTCTCATCCTTTTCTACGCATGTCTTGATAATAGCCTTCGAAATATTGACAAATAAAGCAAACTTTTTGCTCGTTTTTCCACTAAAATTCATCCTCAGTGTAATCAAATTATTAAATAATTGATGGAAAGATGTCAAACAATAAATAATATTGTTGAAAGAATTATATTTCATGCCCACATTTTATTCCCACATTTACTGTATTCATCCATCCATACATATGATTCACGTCCAGATTAAGATTTGAAAAATTAATCACAATTAAGCTAATTGGTTAAAATCTTGTCAAAATTATTCTGGGGCTGGTTCTATTGTTTCCGACGACGGTTCAATTTCTGCCGGTTGTACGACGACTGGGGTCGCTTCCACGACTTCCGGCTGTGGCGGCGGCATCATTTCCGTCACTTCCGGTTTGTCGGTGACTTCGGGGTCGGGCTGCTTCTTCCGGTCGGTGGGGTGGATCGGGTGAGAAATTTGGGAAAGGTCGGGGGGATTTTTCTCAAACTCTTTCAGCTCAGCGAGCCCTTTTTCCGCGATGGCGTAAAGGTCAGGGTGGCCCGACTGGATGGCGGCGTACCAGGATTTGACGCCTGGGTAAGGACTCAGGTCAAAGTCGATCACTTGGAGGAGAAGGGTTCCCACAAAGAGGGGAAGGTCAGCGATGGTCAGATCGGCTGCGAAAAAATTAAGTAATTTGAATTTAGATTTAAATAGTTTTGCAAAGGACGGAATCTGTTATGGTGATCGTTTTGGGTGGATTTATCTCCCTTGCAAATTACTTCACCACAGAAATTAAGGGCATTTTTTGGGTGGTGAATAATTACCAATTTCTGAAGGGTTTCCAAGCAAAATATGCTGGTTGTGATGCAAGTATTTTACAGTGTCATGTCGTTACGCAGAAAAATTGATGCAATATATTAATACTGGTGTATAAGCCCGTCTGCCGCCGGGCGAGAGCTTATTTGATTTTCATGATAATGAGTGGCACAGTGCATAATTCCACCGGATCAATTTTTAATTGTATCAATCAATATCATAAGCTATATATGGAATGGGAAATGTTTGTTGGCATGAGAAATGAAGATAAATGTTTCGCAACGGAAGCGAAAGTGGCTTCCACTTCACTTTAACTTCACTTTAAAGTGGCCAACCCTGCATACCCGTGACTGACTTGCACTTCACTTTTAAGTAAAGTGAAGTTAGATATTGGGTGAAGTCGCTTTGGTTCGACCATGCACTACATAAGTGGCTGCGGAAGCCGTGGGGACATCTGGGGACATTTACATTGCAGGATAGGGGAGGGAGGGGTTTGTATAACATGGACAGGTGATAGGGACATCGAATAATCTTGGGGACATTGTCCCTCTGTGCGCTAAGTACAGAGTCGATGAGTTGTGTCAAGTCAGCACTGGTGCTCTAATAAGTTGTGCGCACACGGGGACGTGCATGTGCGCCCAGATAACATCGATTCTGTCTCTGCGACCCAAAATAACCTAACCGAAGTCTCTGTCTGCCATATCAGTGTATCTAGTGCAAGTTCAGTTCGAACCAAAGAGACTTCACCCAACATCTGATGGCAGTTTTCTGGGGGTGGTTGTCTGATTGTAATTAAGGTGGATTAATTACTGCAGCTATATGTCCACAATAACCAAGGGTTCCTGCGCCATTTTTGCAGAGACGGTACCATCCTACACTTGCTTCCTGTCTGAGTCCCCATGGATGAATTTAATCCACACGATGTGATAACGACGTTTGCTAAATCGAGATTACAACTTCATTCTTATCAAATCCGACAAGTCCTTATGGATGAAGAATTCACAACCAAACCCAGGTGTCGCATGGTGACTATTTTTTGGACGCTAAAAAAGCCCGATCCGATTTATACTGATCGGGCCAAGAATAACCCGAAAAAATGGGCCCCCTATTCAACTCTGGCTATTCCTTTCACAATGCTTGAGTAAACTTAGAGTGGCCATGGACACTTCTAGTTACATCTCATAATCTGAGTTGATGAGACACCAATAATAAAAACTTCGTCCAGTTTAAAGATTTCATCCTCCAGATGCTCTTTGCATAAAACGAAATCATTTATTAAGAGTCCGGTTTTTAGTAAATAAAGCGTTGCGGAAAGGGGTGAAGCGACACGGTCACACGGTCATGGCACATCACAACCATGCAGAAAATCCCCGTCCAAAACTACGTCAAACAAAACAATCAAGACAAAAAATTCGACATTTTCGACTTCCGTTCTGGCGTCGTTTACACGGTCACACGGTCATGGCACGTCAAAACTATATCAATTTCTGAGATCCCCCAAAAAACTACGTCTAGAACGGCCGAAACAAAAAATTCGATATATTTGACCATTTATCTCACCACCGTGGCGCCATGACCTTATGACCTACAACGCCCATCTTCGAAATCATCCGTACTTGAAAAATTAGAAACACGTTGGCGAAAACTGCATGTCGAAATTCGAATCTGTTCTAAAGGTATCGTGGATACGGACAGACCGACAGACATGACATTTTCATAAAGGGATGCCATCTTAAAAGGCCCCTGCTTGAAGCAAGTTTTTTTACGTCATCAAATTGTGACATGGTTACCTTAATTTAATACTTTTGATCAAAGTGACGACGATTTTCATTATTTTTTGTGCATTTACGCATGTAGCACCCGAACCAGGCATGCCTCTTTCACCAAACTTTGCTTAAATATGCTCACTTATATAATAAGTAAGTGTACAAAGTTTGAAGAAAATCGTTGGAGGTCTTCAACGATTTTATCCTAGCATGATTTTAGTACATGCATTTCTCCCATTTAAATGCATGTAAAAAACTCCCACCACTAAAATAATTAATACGGGAGTTCAAGGCATGCCTCTTTCATGAAATTCACGGGGATGACACTTCGATACTTGTATCACAACATATAAAAAATTTAGCAAAATCGTTGGAGGTCTTCATTATTTTTATGACCCACCCAAAGAGAGGGGCTAAACCCGATTTAATCCTTTGTGTGCAAATTTTGTTTCCTAATTTTGGTAGCAATTCAGATTAAAATTTAGAGGTAAATTAATTTTGAAAACTTTCTTGCAAATTTTTGCAAAAATGGAGATTATGATTGGATATATTCGCCAAGATATGAAACTGGTAATTTTTACAATTCATGTACCAGTTTAAAGCCAGAATATAGATTTTTAATAAAAGTGTATGATAAATGTATTTTTGTAGGTTTCATTTCGTTTCCCTCTTGTCTTAAAAAATTTCGGAATTTTCGACTTTTCAATTTTCGAGTTAAAAAAATTCGGAAGTATTGCTCAGAAATATTAAAAATCATTCATTTATATTCTGATTTTAAACGTTTTGCGATAAGAAATATGGAAACAATTGGATCAACTTAAAAGGATTTGATTATGCATGTGCAAATAAAGATGAAAACTGACATATCTGTAATTTATGTAAATTGGTGCAAAATTAATTAACGAATTGCCTTGTTATTACCTCCAGCCGCATAATTTCCGTCTTGCCTCCCGAGCAATTCTTGAAACACGGTCAACGCATGATTCACCTTTTTCAAGTTGGGTTCACTCCTCGTGTACGCGTAGCAAATGGGCAGCAGCTAGAAAAAGGTTAATTAATTAATTCAATATTAACCGTTAATTAATTAATTCAATGTTAATGGTTAATTAATTAATTAAATGGTAATGGCTAATTATTAAACCGTCAATTTTTTGCAATTTTCCCCAGCTGACGACACATATTGAACTTCAAGCCACGCGAATGTTTTCAACGTCGCATATCAAATTTTGCAAAATTTTACTACCAAAATTTCTTCTTAGGTATGCGTTTCGTAAAATTTGACTGGCAATTACTTTACGTGACTTTTGCAAAATTTTGAAAAGAAACATATAAAAAAATATCCCCTTGAATATCCATGTATGTATTTCGTAAACTTTGTAAATTTTCTGAGTTATAAACCTCGCGATTGGCGTCAAAAAGTAGGTCAAGAGTTACGACACGAATTACGAAATTTTGTTTAAAAAAACGCACAGAAATCCCCTCGATTAATGTATTTCGTAAACTTTGTAAGTTTCCCGGATTACAAACCTACCCGTGATTAGCATTATAAAAAAGTAGGTCAAGACTCACCACATAGTCGGCCATGGCCTTATAATAGGTTGACAGGTGGAAGGAAAGGCGATGATTAATGACCGCTCTGGCTTGAGGGTCAGCACTCGGATAGAATTTCTCGTCCACTTTGTACTTCTCGGCCAAATATTGGAGAATCGCCACACTGCGGAAAATCAAAGGGTGCAATAAAAAATCAGAATCAGAAATCTTGCATCATTAGGTTACTAATTCATTATTTTAATTTGGCAAGGTTTTTATCCTGCTCGAATAAAAGCCAAGTTTTGATCGCTGGAAGGAAAACACGCGAGAAATCAATTCCATCCAATTTCTTGGACATCAGGAGAAAATGGAAGTGCACTCTAAATAATTTGTGGAATAGTTTGATTTATGTATTTTGAATACGGGTAGGTTTTGTAAAGTGGGTAAATTTTTGTAAAATTATGATAAGTACCAAATCTAAAAATTGTACTGTAAAAAATTTAATTGATAATACGGGAGGGTAAATTTTGTAAAATTATGAATCGTCTGATAAATTTGTGACCTGAAGTTCGTCATTTTTCTTGATGAATTTTGTTTGCGGGTTTTACAGGATTGGTACTTATCTGAATGAGCTTATTGCAAATTTTGGTTAAAGATGAATTGTGCAAGTTCTCATTAAGATGTTAAGATTGAAATTTTGAAAATAATTAGTTAAATTTTTGTTTTCAAAATTTGGAATACGTCCTTTAACTTGATCCTACCTTTATAAAAATTACGTATAAATCATGATTTTCAGAATTTTTAAATTTTGGAATGAAAATAGTTCAAAATCTATAAAAAAAATATTATTGCGAAATAAAAACATGCTGATAAATTTGCAAATAAAAATCCCAAGATTTTAAGATAACTTTGCAAATTATGGTATTCTATTAAATTTTGCAAGCTTTGCCAAGTTGAGTACGCCCATTATTACCGGATATGGTATACATTTTGTTACCACCACCTTATTTTTAGAGTGCCCTTCGATTTGTAAATCGGTATAGTAAATAATTTCGTGTCTAATTTATGACGCACCGAGTGCGGTGTAATTTTAGCGATAAAATTATTTATAAATGATGTAAACAACGGAAGGAAGGAAGGAAATGCATTCATCTCTCTCTCTCTCTGGACAGGCGAAATTTGTTTGCGGTATTATTATTACGCCTCCAGAGTGATCAAGTATGTACATACGTATCGAAGTGGGTCGTGATAATAATTAGCGTCTAAAATTAGTGCCTGGATAGAGATTGATGACAATCAAGGAGACGAAATTAAGGGATGACCTTGTCGTATTGCGGTTTGTGTGAAATGACGTATATAGTAGTGACCTTTAGAGGAGCAAAATATACCACTCGGATATTTGTAACGTTACAATGGAGGTTTCCCAACGATGAAAAATGAAATAAAATAGCACGGCATTGATATAAAATTTACACTGATATTTGTAATCTCATAGATTTTGTAAACTTTTAGAAACACGTTAAAATGAAATTTACGCTGGTATTGGTAATTTTCGTAAAGTTGTTTATAAAATTTTAATGCATTAAAATAAAATTTACGCTGGTATTTGTAACCTCGCAGATTTTGTACACTTTTAAGAACACGTTCCGATGCAAAAATTCAAAATTGGTAAAAATTTAGTCCAAATTTAAACGGAATATTCACACAATTCATAATTTTTCACGATTCAATTGAATATTTGTAGCCGGGTATGTATACTTGATAAAATATGTAAAATCTTGGACAAATTAACTTCAAAACAAGATCAATAGCATCTTTTTGAAATTTGTAACTTTCTCAATATACTAAATTTTATTGAACGGAGTTTAAACGTAGCCATTAAAAAAACTAACTAAAAAACTTGTCAGGAAAAATTTAACTTGATACAAAAATTGGTACAAAATTCACTCAGATATTTGTAACTGTATTATTTTTTTGGGGGGGATTTACCTTTCACTGAGGAGAAAGCCGTTATCATCGAGCAGGGGCACTTCGCCTTGTGGATTTTTCTGCAAAATCAAAAAATGTTAGTAATTTCAATTTTTTATAAATATTTTGAATAAATAATCCCAATTTTTTACGAGTAAATCATTTATTTTCAAGTTATTGTTGATTTTTTTGTATTCTTTGGTTTGAAATGAAACCCTTTAAAAGGTTTTAAATTGAATAAGAAGGCAGTATTTTTGAAATTAAACATCTTACGTATCTCACTAATCTTCAGTAATCTTGATAAAAATTGCTCATATTGATTTTCAGTATTTTTAATTTTGGACTAAAAATGATACAAAATCATAAAACATAATAATTTATAGGAAAGTTTTGGATTTTTTTGAGAAAAGATTAAAGTTTAAAGGGAGTTTAAAGAAAACGAAATATGATTTTTTTTTAGAAAATGGTACTTCATTTTGGTCTATCTACTGTAAAAGCAGCTTAGAATTAAAATATGCAATTTGGGTAGAATAACTCGTGAGCAATAAAAAACATTGAATTTAAACCAGAGTTTATCTGAAGATCTTTAATTGCAAAACTGATTTGCAACGATTACAATTCTGGCTTGAAAATTCAGCAAAATTAAAAAAAAATTACGATCCGTTTCTACCTTAAAAATGAAATATGATTTTGCCTTCGCAAAATTCGGATTTGTTTGCCAGTTTAAAATTGAGGTTAAAATAATCTTTTTGAATTAAAGTATAATTCAAAATGTTTCACTTCAACGGCCTTTTTCCAATGACCTTTTCCCAACCTATAGAAAATTTTAAAATTAAATTAAAACTAGACTTGCAGCTTTGGTTTTAAACCATAACTATCTAATTAAATTCTAATTAGTGTTGCAACGAGTACTCGTTTCCACTCGGTACTCGGCGCACTCTGCGTATTTTTTGGTGAGCTCGAACTCTGCAGAGTTTTTTTTGCACTCGGCCGAGTTTTATTCTTCTTACTTTTACGGCAAGACAATTTAAATAACACTTGTCAGTTTAGTGGACTAACTCAGATTTAGCTGAAATTTGTTTTTGTGAGTAACTTATAGTCCCTTGAGCAAGCAAACAAATTTTTTTGTGGCGGTTTCGAAAAATAAAATTTCCAGAAATTTCAGAAAATTTGAGTAATAATTATTTCATGCACACTTTTTTAATAAAAAAATCCTCCGGATTCTTGTTTAGCATAGTTTAATTAGTCTAAAAAATCATGTTCATTGAAATCTGAGACAAAAAAATGTTTATGGAAAATTTCCTAAATTTCTAGAAATTTTATTTATCAAGACCGCCGCGAAAAAAAAGTTTTTTCTTGCTGAGGCGACCGTAGGGTATTCACAACAAAATTCAGCTAAATCCAAGTTAGTTCACTAAACTGCAATTCTACCAAATGTAGAAATTCAAAATTTAGACCTCTGCTGAGTCAGCAAAATCAGTTATTTTGTTATTTTGTGCTTTTTAGTACAAATTTTTGGATTAACAGCTGGTTCTGGTCATGTATCTTGTTGATGAGTCAAATTGAACTTTTCGATTGCCTTGTTTTAGAGTGAAAATAGGAAAGGACTCGAGTGCTTTGTGCTTCGAGCACTCGAAAAGCCGATAGCACTCGGCTTTTCGAGTACTCGGTTGCAGAGTTTCACCGAGTGCTCGAACTCGTTCGAGTTCGAGCACTCAGCACCGAGCTTTGCAGAGTACTCGAACTCGGCTCGAACTCGAAATGTAGAACTCGTTGCATCACTAATTCTAATTGTAATTAAACTTAAAATCTTAGAAGTTATGATTCCTCCCTGCATTAAAAAAAATGATGTCAGTTTTTCGGAAATTTTTTCTTTAGCTTCAGAACTTGAAATTTTAAACCATATAAAACTTTAATACTTGAATTTGGAATGTGTTAATTTTTAATTCGTAAATTTTGAATACGTGAATTTTGAATGTGTTAATTTTTAATTCGTAAATTTTGAATATGTGAATTTGGAATATGTTAATTTAGTTGTCCAAAAGTTTAGAATTTTATATTTTTTGCATCAATGATTTTCCAGATTTCGCAAATTTTATATTGAAAATAGAGGGGTCGCCCCGGGAAGTGTTGATGGAATTGTAATTAGTAGCGGGGTAGAACAAAATAATTTTAGAGATCTGATTTTTTCGTACAATATTGCAAATATATCTAGCTCCGTGTCCCAAAAATTTCAGAAGTTTTCCTTGAAAGACAAATTTCCTACACCATTTTAAAGCGAGGAAGTCGGGAAAGGAATTTTTTGTAAGTACCAAAATCTGAGCGACGAAGACTCTAAGAAGTTTTGACTAAATTTGAATGGAGAATGTGGTGGCCGTGAAAAAATTAAGACTTACATAAAAAAGTATGGAGAATCCGAAAATGTCTACCTCAAATACGCACCATGAGAAAAAACCTTCATAATGACCCCTAGAAAGTTAAAAACGATTGAATTTATTTTCGGAAAATGTCGCTCCACGTCCATGCCCGATGCGGCCAAAAGGTCAAAGATAAATACAAACTACTTGTATCACGTTAAAGCCCATAAGTTGTGGGTCAAAGCGTGTACAAACAAATCTCCAGCAAAACATACAGAAGATCGAGAAAAAATGGTAAACGCAAGACATCCAAAGTTTTACAACAAAATCTCACCAAAAAAATTGGTCACTGACGACGAGCCCTACGTCCTTAAAAACGTGCCAGAAACTCCGGGAATGGAATTTTTTCATGGCAAATATATCTCTCAAGTGAAAACCGAAGAGAAATTAAAATGTTGCTAAAAATTTCTCACGAAATTTCCGATTTGGCTGGCGTTAAAATGTATGGTGATCATATGGCAGTTTGATTTTGAAAAATGAAAACCCTCCTTATGTCCCTTATCTTCGCCCCATCGACATATTTTGGACTCTATGTAAGAAGTAATACTCCCTGCTTTGTGAAACAGTCGATATTTAAAAAAAATTTCGGTTCCGATAGGAAAGAATTAACAATGAAGTTGTAAAGTCTTCCGAAAAAGTATTATTGGCGGACGCGACTAAAATGACTAAATACGAAGTGGATAATGGATTAAAGTCTCCTTTGTTCGCGAATATGTAACGTCAGATGTATTTAACATATTATATCAAAATTTGAGATTTGTAGAATCATTTTTTGACCATTTTGAGGTCAAAATTCCCCATCAACACTTCCCAGGGCGACCCCTCTAATTGAAAACTTATGAATCGCTTGAGCATCACTTTTTTAAAAAATAAGCTATAAAATTATGGTTTCTGCAATTTTCGCCATGAAAAATATTGGAAATTTTTTGTCACATTTTGTTTTACCAACCTTTTTGTAAAGTTCCGAGGCTTGTTCTGCCTTGAGGAAGTCGATGTCCACGAGTTCTACTTGGAGGCCCAGATAGGCCAACGCCATCCGGACGGCGAGACATGGCGGGGAGTCGCTGATATGGTACAGTTTGAGACCCATGGCGATCGCGACCTTTTTGCCCCCTCCGCTTCCTGTGGGGATGACAAAAAATAGATTTTTAAAATAAACATAAATTCACTCGGGTGTTTGTAAAAGGTGTAAAATTTCGAAAAATTTTGACACGAAGCATTGTTGATTCAGCCGTCATAAGTTTTTTTGATTAATTTGCGGATTTTTTAAAAAGCATGGACGAAAAATAATTCTTTGTAATAAAAATTTACTCGAATGTTGTAAACTGGTAAAATTTCGAAAATTGTAGATACAAAATAACGAAACAGTTTTAATTCAGTAAGATTTTTTGTATTTGTGGGGGCGAAAAATAGACTTCAAAAAATAAAAATTCACTCGGGTGTTTGCAATATGTATAAAATTTCGAAAAATTTTGACATGAGACACTCTGTTAGATAGTATTTAATTTTGTGAGTAATTTGTGTATTTTGTTTAATTTGCAGGGATGAAAAAGGAATTTTTGAATGAAAATTCACTCGAGTGTTTATAAAAGTGTAAAATTTCTAAAAATTTGACACAAAATAATGAAACAGTTTTGATTTAGTCGTTTGGTAAGTTTTATGAATTTGTGGATTTTTTAGGGAATCCCCACTGGGGATGAAAAATTGGGTTAAAAACATACATTTGTATCACACTTTTCACTCAAATTTTTGTAAACTATGTAAAAATTTGGGACAAAATAATTTGTTTGAACCTGATACATAGGTTTTTTTTGTTAATTCGAGCAACACGACGGGACATCTAAACAAAAGATTTGGAAGTTATTTATGGTAAAATTATTATTTTCGACGTTACTGTTAATATTGTAGTAATGAAATTTATCCAAATTTTTTGCCATCCCGTGGAGAAAATGATATTTTTACGCAAAAATACAAATTGTTATTACCAACTTGGAACGCGGTAGCAAAATTTTTATAATTTTTTTCTAAAAAACCATTAGAATTTTGCAAATTTGGAATTTATCAAAAAATTTATTTATTGAAATGTTGTACTTGCAAGTCGTCCGCAACTTTTCGGAAGGTACGAACAAAAGAAAACTGTTTTTTTTTCAGATACCTGACAGTTGTTTTGGTAGGAAATTATGTCAAACTTTCACGCTATGTTGTGAAACTTTATGAATTAGTGAACTTTAAAATTTTACTTAGGTTTGTTATTCGTCAAATAGAAAGTTTTAAAAATCGATAGTTTTCACAACGGAACATTAGTTTGAAACTTTTGTTTAAAAATGATTTTGCATTTGTCATAGGTTGGAAATTTCATGTTTTTTTAACTGAAGTTGTAAACAAAGGTTAGCTTTTTATATTTTTTTTTATAAATTATGCAATTTTTCGAAAAAATAAATTTACAAGTTTATACGATTTTCTTATCGTTTATTATCATTTTTTAAAAAACAGGAATAACCTAAAAATTGTTTATCAAGTTATGATGATAATAAATGTTAACTTTTTGAAAGGAAGGCATAATATATTTGTCGTTTGGTATAAGTTCAAAATTTTACCAAACTTAATGACAAACATTCACGTCATTTTTTGTGAAATTTTATTATTGACAGAAACATGAAAATTTGAGATGGGGTTTTTCTTTTGATGAATTCCAAGCTTTGGAAATTGGCAACTTTCACAACCTGTACTTTTTAACAACTGTATTTTTTTTATAAATTACGCAATTTTTTCGAAAAATAAATTTACAAGCTTATGCGATTTTGTATGTACTTGGTTATTATTATTTTTTAAACAGGAATAACTTAAAAATTGTTTAGATTAAGTTATCATGATAATAATTTTTAACTTCTAGAAGTTGTGGAAAGAAAGGAATATTAAAAAGATGGTTAACATCAGATGTATTTGTCGTTTGGTACGAGTTCAAAATTTTACTAAACCTTCACGCCCTTTTTTATGAAATTTTATAAATTTCCGAACCACAAAATTTCTAGATAATTTGTTTTCGGGCGAATTCCAAATTTTTTAAATTGGGAACTTTCACAACCTGAACTGTCATGACTTCAGTTTAAAAATTTACTTGAGTTGTAACTCAAGTTAAGATAGCTTTTTTATATAAATTATTAAATTTGTGTAATTTTTCGAAAAATAATGTTACAAGATCCCTCGAGTTTCAAGTCGTTTATCAATTTTATTTAAGCTGGAATAACCTAAAGGTTGTTTAGATCCAAGGGTGTACAAAGTTTTAAACTTATATATTTTTTTTAAAGATATTAAAAATACTGTTTTTATTCGATATATAATATCTTCGTTCCTTGGTACGAGTTTAAAATTTGGTCAAATTAACGGCAAACTTTCACGCCATTTTTTGAAATTGTATGAATTAATGAACGATTTAATCCCTACGTACATAGGTTTGATTATCGAGGATTTTAAAGTTTTGTTAATTGGACACCCTGAACTGGCGTTCGTTTAAAAACTTGAGTTTGTCATAGATTGAAAATTTCACATTTTTTTTACTCAAGTTGTAAACAAAACATTTTTTTACTCAAGTTGTAAACAAAACATTTTTTTTATAAATTACAAAATTGTGTAATTTTTTTACAAATAACTTTCCAAATTTATTCCATTTTCAAGTCGTTTCTTATTTTTTAAGTAAGGAATAACTTATAAATGGTTTAGATCAAATTAATATGATGATAAATTTTAAATTGTAAAATTGATAACTAATTTTGCATAAAGATTTTTGCAAAATTATGGTAATTTCTTTTTAAAAAAACAGAGTCTAATATTTTGCTTTTTAAATTCATCCTGTGAATTTCGTTTTCGGTTTTTTTAAATTTTTCATAAAAAGTTTTTTTCCTTACCTTTAAACGAACTTCGAGACGAGGGTTGTCGCGTGGCGTTATTTTCCGCCCCTCCTCCAGCCCCACCCTCGCCTTCCTTCGTGATGATGACGTCCGCAACGGTGTCGATCTTGTTTCTGTGCGACAGATAAAATTTCTTCCCTGGATAATCCAAAGTTTTTATGCTGTCCAAACTTTTCGAGGGACACTGACCCACTGGAAAATAAAAATAAAATAAAATTTTGAATATATAATTTTGGAAAGATAGGGAAGAATGTTTCCATTTTTTCATGTACTTCAAACAGCTCGACCTGATTTCGTTGAAATTGTATTACTGAAGGGTGTGGGGAAAACTTTTTCGATATTTGTCTACCTAAAAATGTTATGGTAGCTTTTTTAAAAAAGAATTTCGAAATTTGTCTCCCAACAAGTTATGGTAGTTATTTTTAAAATTAAGAATTTTGAAACTTTTGTCTGTGTACATACATAAATATCTACTTTCTCCGAAAAATACCTGTATTTCCAAAAAAAAATACATTTTTTGTTTACAGGAAACTATATATTAGGAAAACTGGAAGATAAGAAAAATATTTGGGTTATTCTTGATTCCGAAATTTTGAAAAGGTCGGCACCGTTATAGAAAATTTTGAAATGCACGAATATAATTAAGTAGAAACTAAGGTTAGATCCTTGCCAGAATAAAGTGGACAAGTCATAAGTTTCCCTAAATGACAGTGGAAAGTTCTTGTTATTTCGAAACTTCCACACGGATTAAAACGGCGTTTCAAGAATATATAAATTTTGCAATTTCTTAGTTTTTTTTCATTTCGAAAAATTAGGATGTCGAATTTTTAAGTGTTTTAAATATAGTTGTAACCCTAAACTTTGACGGGGAAAGAGGGTATATAAATAAATTGAAAAAATTTAGAAAAATTGAGCTACATATTTGAAACAGGATATCGAAGAATTTCAGGAAAAGGAAAAAACTTACAATGGAGGCGCAAACCATGTTCAGCCCAGATAATTTTTTGATCTTATTAGTTTGAAAGAGCAAGTCTTTACAAACAACATTTGGTTCGGCACTTGGGCAGATGCGCAAATTTCAGCACGTTATGGGCGCCGCAAGTTCGCAAAAACGCACGTTTTTTCGGGCAATGCTCAGCACGAGCTCAACTTCGTGCGTTTTTGCGAACTTGCGGCGCCCATAACGTGCTGAAATTTGCGCATCTGCCCAAGTGCCGAACCAAATGTTGTTTGTAAAGACTTGCTCTTTCAAACTAATAAGGTCAAAAATTATCTGGGCTGAACATGGTTTGCGCCTCCATTGTTAGTTTTGGATAAATTCGAAATCTAATGAATGAGCTGGATGCCATTAGAAAAAAATTGGGAATTTTAAAAACTTCAACAGAATCAAAGATAACATTGAAGCAACGTCGAACATTACACATTGAACATTTAACATTGAAGTATTTGAAATTTGTAAGTTTCTTAGGTATTCGTCATCTAAAAAAATATTGGGATGCACAACAATTTTACAACATTTTGTAACACGCACATAGTTTTGATCCTAAATTTTGACTATAAAAACATACATAACATGCAATAACTAAATAATAAAAATTTCGAGATATTTAAAGAAGAATATTAATGAATTTCAGAAAATCAACAATTTAGGATTTGGATAACGTCACTAATTTTGAAGGGGAATTGAGTTTCACGCCGTTTAAATAATTTTGAATTTCAGAAACCTAAATTAAATGAGATATATCTTTTCGGTACATAGGAGTGTATTCAAAATTTCAATAAAGTTTGACATCATTGAAGAAAGAATTGGAATTTCATAAATATAAAAAGAAACAAAGGGTTTTTTAAATCATGTCTACAGAAGTTTTGCCTAAGAAATTACAAAAAATTTGAAGAACTCATTTCAAAATATTTCAAATATATATTTCAAAATAATTCAAATATTTCAAAAAGAATATCGAGGAATTTTAGAAAAAGAAAATTTTGCATTTGAGTAGATTAATTAATTAAAAAACAATCCTTTGAGATGTAATTTCAAAATGATTAGTTTCTGTTTATATAAAAAATTGAATTTAAAATTTTCGAAAATATAAAAATTTAAATTATTATAAATTATTATTATTATTTAAATGTTCAAATTTTAAAAAATCTAAAGAAAAACAAAGGTAGACTTCCACTTTGTCACTGTTGACTAATAAGTTTGTTAAATCAGAAAATTTTTGAAAAAGAATGGCGAGGCATTTTAGGAGAAGAAAAAATTTTGGATTTTCGTAAATTCTGAAATTTTGAAGTCACTTGGACGCCGTTCTAAAAAAATCAATTTTAATAACTTATGTAATGAAATAAAGATTACTTGGGAGGAATTGGTAATATTTGTGAAAATCGGGATATCCAATTTTTCTTCAAAATTCACAATTTTTCTTCAAAATTCAAAACACAAATCCTAAATTTCGGATGAAAAAATGGGGTACACAGATTTCGAAAACTTTGCATTTGTTAAATTGGTTAAATTAGTTAAATTGGTGGAAAATAATGGTCATAAATTCAAATTAGGATAAATTTCAGTTTGTGACAAAGATTTTATCCCCTTGAGTTGCAGACAAAATTTTAAAAAAACTTCTTGGCAGGACGAAAAAAATGGAAATTCTGAAATATGAGGGTTTTGTAATTTCGAAAATAAATTGGGATCTTAATATTTGTCAATATATCTAATCGTAATAAAAATATAATAAGAAATTGGGTTATCAAATTTGCAAAAATTTGCAATGTTTTAAACAAGGCATCAGGGAATATTAGGAAAAAGTTAAGATTTTATTTATCAACCATCTTGACAAGGAATTTAGTTCGACGCCGTTACAAAAAAAATGAATTATAAAACCCAGAATAAATTTAAAGATTACAAATTGGGCAAAGAAAAAGAATTCTTTAAGTTTTTGAAATTGTATAGCTGTTGAATAAATTGTGCTGTATAGACTTCGAAAAAAAATCCGGGTACAAAATTCTCAGCGATTTTTAAAATGTCGCTTTAATCCCGAATTTTAACTTAAAAATAGCAAAAGATAGCAAAAATTTAACAAAAATTGAACACCACTCAAGAATACATATATTCGCACCATTAGTGATTGTGCATATAACGCAAACTTGTCCATTCTAGAATTTTATATATTTACGAATTTAAATTTCTGAAAAACAAGTCTGGATGTAAAAAAAAATATTATTTTACCAGATTAGTATGGATCCCAAACTCTAACTAAAAACCTACCATTTATGCTTTGGCAATTTTATACTTTGTCTCGATCCACGCTAAATTCATGCCGTGGGTGGAAATGTGCAATGACTTAGAAAATCTGTGCATCTCGTTGCAGTTAATAACTTTTAAAAATACAATAAAAATCTATCAAATGGGACGCAATATCCTGCTCAGTATTTAAACTTGTGACGATTAAGTGTAGATAAATAAATTGTAATAGGCATCCTCTCATCAATGAGCAGAAGGCGGATATGTACTTTTATTCAACTGTTTCATTTGATGACGACCGATGGTAAAGCTTTGTGGGTGTGTTCCCTATATCGCATAGATAACATATATTTCGTAAATATTTCAACGAAATACGAGGCGAAATTTTTTTGCACAAAAAAATTGGCCCATAAAAAAATCTACATTAAAAAATATATAGATTTTGCCAAAATTCTTATTTTTAATTTTTTTCCTACATATTTCGAAAATATTTTCGAATTTTTTTCCCAAATATTAAATTTTTCCCAAATACATATCCGCCCTGTGCTTATCACGTTGGAAGCTATCAGGGATCAAATTATCCCTACTGAACTTTGACGACCGTGATGAAAGGACTTCCTGTATAGAAAAATCTTTCAAAATCAATCGTAACCAAAAAAATGCAGTTTTTCCTCTGAGATTGCATTTTTATGTAGTGAATTTGGATGGCTTTTATCCGTAGATACATAAGGTTTAGTTTTTGGTTATATACATTTTAGATGAGATTTACATATATCTGTCAATTACCGGGAGAAAAGTAAGGTTTTGGTACGTACATAATATAAATGGTTCTGCGTTATGTAAAACAAAATTACGAAAATTGTACCATTGGAAATTAATCCAGACCTAAATTAATAATGCGTCGTGGGATGGTAATGTGTGGTTTTTGCTAATCTAATTTTCAAGAAATCGTATAAAATTTCATGAATTTCTAAGTAACAAAATATTTTTTTAAACAGATTTTATGCAAAAACTATTTGTGTAATCGAAACGTCGAGTTTATTTAGTTTAAATTATATATATTCCTAAACTTAATAGATACTTTTGCGTCAGTTTGATTTTGCCAAATTTAAGTTGACTTTTCTATAAAAATTGTGTACCGTGATTAATTTGCGGTTTATCTTCATAATTTCATAACATAAATTTGAACTTGGGTTTTTGAAACTGAATGCAGATTTGTCAATTTCTAATTAGGTAATTACGGTATTTTCATAAAATTGGAAGTTTAACTGTATTTTTATTGAAACGGGAAAAATTTCCGAGTTATAATTTCTCTTGCATTTTTAACCAATGCAGTAATTCTGCTGATAATTATTCACCTTTTCATACATTCATATAATATTTGTAAAGTGTACATTTGTTTTTACAAAATTTACCTATTTATCATTCGAAGCCACATGTTTAACCAATTTTTTTAAATTTCTTGAAAATAAAATTTTATTATGACCGTACTTCATAAAATATTTGAAACCTATAGAAAACACAGTGAACTAACTAATTCTTTAACATTAATTTTGTTATATCTCACTTTTCCATGAAAAAATTGGGTCTTCTCGACGCCAGAGAAATTAATTTATCATAAACTATTTTATTATACTGTATTTATTATACTGTAGAAGATAAAATCCACAAAGTGTGACATTCAGAGTTCTTTATTTATTTCTAATAAATATCAAACTCTGTGGTATAAATTGTAAAATTAAACTAAAAATATTAATATTATAAAAATGAAAGAAAACAAGATTTGAACTGTGATAATCACACTTTGTGACTTATGTAGGTGTGATTTATGTGATTCTTCTCATGCCTTATGATTTCTGTAATATTACAAGTGTGAAAGTGGAACAAAACATGGTTTACAATGCATTCTAGGACTAAACCAGCTCTCATTCTTAGATTCAGCATAATATTCTGAGTATTTGGTTACATATGTGGGTTTAGTGATTAGGGCAAAGTTGCAGGCAGTTTCGCAGTTTGCATTTGTAGATGAAAGTATTTGGTCAGAAAACTGGCCGAGTCGGGTATGAAAATGCTAGAATTTTGTGCTTAATCAATCTCAATATCCAGTTAATTTTTAATCTAGGATGTACTCCATTTTGCTGCATAATCACAGAAATTCCAAAAATCCCAAATTTCACAGAAATACACCGTGATGTGATTAAATTGGCAGAATTTTATATTTAATCCGGATATCAAGCTATTATAAAGATAGATATTAAAGAAAATTACTCTATTTTGCTACATAATCACACAAATCACATATTTTCTTCCGCAAAAATCACATTGTCATTTTCAAATTTATTCAAGACAAGGTACCGACTTACTTGTGCGGTGCGATGAATAGAATAATCTCGGTATTTTGTATCCTTCTCAGACTCCTAAGAACACGAGGGGACGACGCTGCATGAAAAAACTTGTACGACACGGACAACTCGTTTGGACATCGATCCTGATATGTACCAATTGTGGCAGAATTTCCATACTATTTTAAATTTTATCCCGTTTTTAACACAGTTTACACACTCTGAAATTATAATGAGACAATTCACGCAGGCATTCACATAACATCGTAAATTCCGTAAATTTTTACAAATATTTAACAAACATTTCTCAGGAAAAGTAGCTCCCAAATTTTTGTAAACTTACTCAAGTGAAGATCTTTATATTTGAAAAGTTTGCAAAATTACGGTACCAAACGCTTGGAATTTACAAAGTTATCGAATAACTGCGTGAATTGCGTCGTATTTACATAGGTGACGAAAAAACGACTTGGAGTTTTTATCGAGACGAAGAAAGCTATGAAATTGTGGAGAAAGCAAGGTGAAAGTTAGTGTTGGATCAATGTTCGCATTGGGAGAGATGGAAATGGACTGATTTCTTTCTTTGGAATGGAATGAAAGTGCGAATAATGAGAGAAATGTGTGTGTATGTATGTACTACAAACGAATACTTGACGATGGTGGACCCTGTGGCGTGGTCTGGTTTTCTTCGACATGCATATAAATTTTTGGACCTATTGTTCCCATTCTTATTACGTATGAATGTAGGCAGAGAGTACCTGACGCGAATTATTGTGGTCAGGCAGGTAGGTACGGACAGGTACATTCGTTTGTTGACGAATGTAAGAATTGTACGTTGGGCAGGGCATGCAAATAAATTAAAGGCATTTTGGGCATGGAAATAATTGCCAGGAAATTTTTGAGCATCATGAAAATAATTTCCCAGGAATTTTGTATGGAAATAATTGCCTAAAATTTTTGGCATTAAAATAAATGGAAATTTTGGAAGTTTTGGACATGAAAAAAATTCCAGGAGTTTTGGACATGAAAATAAATGCCAAGTGTTTTGGACAAGCAATTGCCCAAAATTTTGACTCGAGCATGAAAATAAATGCCACGATTTTGGCCAAAAAAATAAATCCATGAAATTGTTTTAATTAATATAAATAATAAATACCAAAAGTTTTTGTCATGAAACCGAAATTTTTGACATGACTTCAGAATTTTCATTAAAATTTATGACATAACCTTTGCGTGGGCATAAATTTAAATCCGTGGCCTGGCAAATAAACGATGCCATAAATGCCGTAAATGCCAAATATAATGGACATACGTACAACTTTAGGCAGGGAGAAAACCGCAAGAAAGTTATCCACTCCGATTGTCGACTTGATACGTATGAGACCCAGATTTTATAAAGGATATAGCAGATTTGTGGTTGGAGGAATGGATTTTCATGGACTACCCGGGTTTTGTAAGGGGACAAAAAAATCGGACCAAGTCTAAATCCCTCCTTGACACGAGATTCTATTATTTCGTATGTACAGGTATTTATTTATTTATAAATAGGTATACATACGTACATAGCGTAAGTAAAGGTATGCATGTACGGAACAACATGATTGATAGGCATGGATCGAGTTTGCATATTGCAAAATAAAACCAGGGTTTCATTCATGCTGCTGGAAATAATTTTTAAAATAATTTCATGAAAATATGCATTTTTAAATATTGTTAGAAATTCAGGATTAAAATAATGCCAAGCGGTATTCGCATTATGACTCTGTCAAAGTGGTTTTGATAAAGTAATACCATGTAGTAATAGTTCGGTATTAAATTTTTACCATATCGGTAGCAAAATTTTGATGGACCCGTATAATTTTAATCCGAAGCGGTAGCAAACTTAATACCGGGAAATTAATACCTGTTCGATTATACCAGATTTCTAATTGGGGTACGACGAGTGATAATTAATTTGGTAAAAAACGTATCCTTTAGAACCGACCGGATTAAAATAAAATTGGTGGATTGGTTAAAAACTCGAAGAAATGTGTACATGCGGAAATTAGAAATTAATAGGTGTCCAGTTTTTTTAAATGAAAATTCAGTCATACTAAAAACTGTATTGTTCTGTATGAATGCTGAAGTATTTAGATACATTTTTTATTAAAAAATAAATGTGTACCGTTTACAAGCATGGAAATGTTGGAAAATCATGGTCAAAAATTCAGAGAAATTATGACTTGGAAATTAAGGATTGCTAAAAATTGTGTTGGCTTCAATTTATTCAATCCCAATAACATAATCTTCAAAATTTGCTAGTCTCATAAATCCCCAGTACCCAACTGAGAAATCTACCTTACAAAGTCAAGGCTAGAATCTATCAAACAATTATTTTGACGTTAAGAGGACACAGTTTGTTGAATTTTGTAAAATTATGCCATTTTCCTTATTAGTTACCCATGATTGAAAAACGGAATTGTTTTAGGTTAACCCATAAGTTCTAACACAATTGAACAAGAGTGTTAGATAAAATCCGTTACTGATTCCGATTAAAAAAAAACAGGAAATTTTGTCAATAATTCGGAATTTTGTTAAATGAACAAAATTATTAACCATGTTAATAATTTTTAATTTTGACAAGGGACTTGTTGCACCTACTCTACATAACTATTGTGAGAATCTGTAAATCAACTATTTTGATGATAAAATAATTTTTTGGGAAAGGATTAACGCCAAAATGCACACATTATTTAATTTAAGAATTTAAGTAAGCCAACTTCAGGTTGTTCGATGATAACTCATTTGAAATCCATTTTCAGTATAAGTATTTTAAAATTCATGAAAATTCATATCCACTCATGAACTTAAAATTTTACAGGACATTAATTTTCATGAAAACTCATCATAAAAATATACAACCAAATCAAATCCAACAGTAACAATTCCTTACCTACATATGAAAAATAGTATGAATGAAATCATACCATTCTCGATATTAGATATTACATTAATCCAGAATTTCGAAACACTGCAAGGCAAACACATTTGTACATATTTATGCGTACAAAAAAACGCTTCTCGTTACTTAACGGGGAGTGTGACGAGAAGGAGGAGAATTTGGGGATGAGTTTTTTCCCAGTTTCAACCTTCTCTCTCGCTTTGGAAAATACATTGTTCGCCTATCTCGAAACTTCGCATCGACCTTGTAGGGGGGAGAGGGGGAAATCGGGCAAAAAGAGCTTATTAATTGATAAAGATAATTTTTTTGAATTTTTCTACGTTGGTCCCAAATTTTTTCGTCCACGGAGAGTACCTCTGCGTAGATTTTAAAGTTGCATAAGCTTCAATGTGTTTATTAAAATCTACGCAGAGGTACTCTCCGTGGACGAAAAAATTTGGGACCAACGTAGAAAAATTCAAAAAAATTATCTTTATCAATTAATAAGCTCTTTTTGCCCGATTTCCCCCTCTCCCCCCCACAAGGTCGATGCGAAGTTTCGAGATAGCGAGCAATGTATTTTGCAAAGCGAGAGAGAAGGTTGAGACTAGGAAAAAACTCAAAACCCGGAATTTTTTCTCCTCTGGTGAAGAGCAGCGATAAGAGGGTAGCACCTTCCTTACCACAACCGTTTAAACGGGCCGGAAAAGGGGGATAATATACCAATAAAAGTGGAGTAGTTTACGTTCAGGGGCCGCCCACGAAGGGTGTGACCACGTGTCCCTCACGAGGCAGAACAGGACTCGGAACTTAATAATGCTATACGAAGTAGAAACAAAAATTCAAAAAATTTCCAAGCCATAATTTTAACCCTTTTTTATTAAATAAGGTATGCTTGTCCAATTCAAAATTTTCGATTAATTTAGTAACTTTATAAAAGGATTGGTAAAGTCAAACGGATAAAAAATGGGGAGAAAACCTCTAAAATTTTGTACACCTATAAATTTCCACCCCATAGTTTTAACACTTTTTGAAAAGGCTGAAGGGCTACACTTTAGTATACCACCTGGGCGATATGGGGTCATATGATACCTCATTTTGTTCAGTTCGTCGAGCTGAACAAGAATATCAAAACCATTTAGGGCGGAAACGCTCCGTTCAAAAGTTATGGCGGGTCAAAGTTTGAAATTTTTATTCCATTTTTGGACGTTTCGGAGAATTCTAAGACTTTGTCTCACTTTCCCCCAAAGCGGGAAATTTTTGGGGTATATTGAGATTTTGGGGTAAGGTGAGATTTTTACTTTTTACTGTAAAATATGGATTTCAATCATTTTCCCGCGAGGCGGGAAGGGTTTTGGGCATTTTGAGACTTTTGGGGGGTGAGATGAGATTATGCCCATATTGGGGTATTGTTCGTATTTAAGCGAGCGAAGCGAGCGAGGTTAGGTTAGATAGAATTCGCGGAAAGTGCTACCTAGGAAAGTTACCTTGAAGTGCTACCAAGGAAAGTTACCTAGAAGAGCTACCTAGAAGTGCTACCTAGAAATGCTACCTAGAAGTGCTATCTAGAAGAGCTACCAAGAAGTGCTACCTAGAAGAGCTACCTAGAAGTGCTACCTAGAAGAGCTACCTAGAAGTGCTACCTAGAAGTGCTACCTAGAAGTGCTACCTAGAAGTTCTACCTGGAAGATGGTAGGTGGGAGAATTAGATAAGATATAGCCCAAAAATTAAAAAAACACTCCCGCCTCGCGGGAAAATGATTGAAATCCATATTTTACAGTAAAAAGTAAAAATCTCACCTTACCCCAAAATCTCAATATACCCCAAAAAATTTCCCGCTTTGGGGGAAAGTGAGACAAAGTCTTAGAATTCTCCGAAACGTCCAAAAATGGAATAAAAATTTCAAACTTTGACCCGCCATAACTTTTGAACGGAGCGTTTCCGCCCTAAATGGTTTTGATATTCTTGTTCAGCTCGACGAACTGAACAAAATGAGGTATCATATGACCCCATATCGCTCAGGTGGCATACTAAATTTTTTCCGGCTGAAGTTTTCCAATTCAAAAATTTTTAATTGATATTTTTTCACCTCAAGATTAAAAAATTTTGAAAATTTCCTGTTTCTTCAGTTTAAACAGTTTTACAAATCAAAAGACATTTTGATTCAATAACGAGCGTGATGAATCTAAATCAATTAAAATAGAATGTTGAATATTCCAGAATTACAAAAATGTCGCGTAAGTCTTACATATTTTTGGGTTCAAAAAAATTTTCGGCAAAATTTTGAAAGTTTTAAATATAGACTATCTAAGAGGTACTATTTTCTGGAAAATTGTCAGTCGATATCTACTTAAATTTTTACGTATACCTTTAGAAATCCAGTATTAAAATAATATCAAGCGGTGCGGTATTAATATATGACTACCAAAGTGGTCCTGGTAAGTAACACCGTCTGGTAATAGCTCGCTCTTAAAGTTTTACCATATCGGTACCAAATTTTTTACAAATCAGTATAATTTTAATACCAAGCGGTAGCAACTTTAACACCGAGAAATTAATACCTGTCTGACTACACCAGATTTCTAACGTTATAAAAATAAAAATAAATAAAAATAAAAAATCATGTCAAAATAATAACCCAGCATCCTTTCGCACG